TCACAGGTGTCTGTGGTTCCTCTGATGCAGGAGGGTCTGAGGACAGTGATTGTGTCAGTGTCACAGGTGTCTGTGGTTCCTCTGATGCAGGAGGGTCTTAGGACAGTGATTGTGTCAGTGTCTCAGGTGTCTGTGGTTCCTCTGATGCAGGAGGGTCTGAGGACAGTGATTGTGTCAGTGTCACAGGTGTCTGTGGTTCCTCTGATGCAGGAGGGTCTGAGGACAGTGATTGTGTCAGTGTCACAGGTGTCTGTGGTTCCTCTGATGCAGGAGGGTCTGAGGACAGTGATTGTGTCAGTGTCACAGGTGTCTGTGGTTCCTCTGATGCAGGAGGGTCTGAGGACAGTGATTGTGTCAGTGTCACAGGTGTCTGTGGTTCCTCTGATGCAGGAGGGTCTGAGGACAGTGATTGTGTCAGTGTCACAGGTGTCTGTGGTTCCTCTGATGCAGGAGGGTCTGAGGACAGTGATGATCTGGGACATTTAAGGACATTTATTAACATTTCTGGAAAGTGGTCGTCCTGCTCCGTATATGGTTCTGTGTTATTATTGCATAAGTGTGTATGATTATAAACTCAAAAAAATAACTTAAATTAACGTAATAAAATTATGGACATAAAATTGCGTTTCTATAGCAATAATTAATTGTGTCGACTTGACACCATGTGAAGATTAACATGATGTAATTTGGTTTGATCCAACTATAACAACTTGTGGTGTTTACATTGTGTTTATTTAGTAATAAAAAGTTATGATGACTGTTGAGTTAAATCCTCCTCGGCAACTGCTGCTGTGGTTTTGGACGATACACAAATACATTGAAGTGAAACTACATTGAATTCAATGTAGGCCTTAAATGAATCTATTCTAGACCACTGAACCATGGCATTGGGGGTAGGTTTTTTATTTAGGCACTGCTGTTATGACTGCATGCTAGTATTATTATATTATTTGCAGGCTTACATGTGCATTGTATATCTATTTAGTTTTTAATTGGCTTAGTCCTCTCTGTTCAGGTGTTACTTATTCTGGGATGAAATGATAAAACACTATTTAAATTGTTTATTTCCAGGTGTAGGCTAAAAGTGATGAGCATATTCTTCATCACATCCGGGCCAAAGATTGTGAAGCCATAGACAGCTTTCCCTGCCACCAACTAAAAAACACTACCGGAGAGCAAACTTTCAGGCAGCTGTCCATCAAAGGTCTCTACAGCACATGATAGAGGCATGGTTGGATTCTTGAAGAAAATAAGGCTTTAAGAATACAGTGGAAGTCCCAGAATCTGTTAGGAACTCTGTTCGCTGTGGCTGTAAAGCTGGGGTAGGGTCACTGGACCTCATTTATGAAACTTGCGCAGAAAAGGGTATCAATTTTGGGTGTATAATCCAAATACGCAAGATCCAATGTGTGAGATCTGTGTGTAAGCACCTGAAATACTTGCCTAAAACTTTATGAAAGTCAGGCCTATAAATATGCAGCAACCGACAGTTTCACGCCCCGTTTTTTGCGACAGTTAAAAGGAAACTAACGAAATGAACGAAGTGGAAAAAAAAAGTCTTACTATTTGTAACCCTGACAAGTGGCATTAAGGGGGTCAAAAAACACAATATGAAAAGTAAGGGATAACGTATATTACGCAGGTTATTATCGGAAAATAAGCACCGACAGGGCGCTTATTTTCTTTCTTAAATTAAGAAAGAAAATAAAATAGTTCCCAAAGGCTTTCCCGTGGCTATGCTAGAAACAGTTAGGCTAACAACTTCCAAACTATAACTCTTTGGAACTGCATGAAAACTGAACACAGAATCCTGAACATCAGCGGTGAGTGACCCAAACATAAACTTAACCTAAATCCATAATTCCATCCTCTGCAAATGTTCCTAAAATGTGCCGGTATCTACTTCCGGCTTTTTCGGGATCGCATTTTCTCGCATTAAAACAGTGTTTTTGTCATGAAAACGTAAACGGAAAATTCTGAAAACGTCCATGCACTTGTATTAAGACTGGATATGTATAATTCACTCTCCGATTAACATTTCGTTGCGTTGATTGATTAGTATTTGCGTTTAATGAGCGTGGCTAGCTCCGGAGTGGCCGGAACTACTTGCGGAGTTATCCACGCATCTGAAATACAAGCAGAGAGTGCGTTGCCAAAGGGCAGTGGTCATTATTGTTTTGAGTGGTCCGTTATAGAAAATAATGACCGGTAGAACGTTTTGAAATGACATTCAAATCAATGGTTCTGCTGCTGCTGTGAGGAGCGTGTGATAAGAGATGAGAACATCTGTAAACAGCATGGGGCCATCCAGGTAATCGATTGAAGCAGAAATGTAGTAAATACATAATAAAAAAGTAATTAATTAATACATTTTCTAGTTTATTATAATATGCATGTCTTATAAGCCCTCCATCCATCCATTTTCTTCCGCTTCATCCGTTGCCGGGTCGCGGGGGCAGCAGTCTAAGCAGAGACGCCCAGACTTCCCTATCCACACACACTTCCTCCAGCTCGTCCGGGGGGACCCCAAGGCGTTCCCAGGCCAGCTGAGAGACATAGTCCCTCCAGCGTGTCCTGGGTCTTCCCCGGGGCCTCCTCCCGGTGGGACGTGCCCGGAACACCTCCCCAGGAAGGCGTCCAGGAGGCATCCGGAACAGATGCCCGAGCCACCTCAACTGGTTCCTCTCGACGTGGAGAGGCAGCGGCTCTACTCCGAGCTCCTCCCGTGTGACTGAGCTCCTCACCCTATCTCTAAGGGAGCAGCGGCTCTACTCCGAGCTCCTCCCGTGTGACCGAGCTCCTCACCCTATCTCTAAGGGAGCAGCCACTCTGCGGAGGAAGCTCATTTCGACCGCTTGTATCCGCGATCTCGTTCTTTCGGTCATTACCCAAAGCTCATGACCATAGGTGAGGGAGGGAACGAAGATTGACCGGTAAATCGAGAGCTTTGCCTTTCGGCTCAGGGAGCTGTCTTATAAGCAATGAAAAAAATCTAAATAGTCATTTTTGTATATTGCTGTGTACCTGAAAGTGCAAAATACAATACACAATACAATACAATGTATTCTTGTATAGCCCTAGGTCACAACAGAAGTCATCTCAGAGACTTAACAAAACCATTGAAATCACCAACACAGGTCAGAGAATCAACAGTTAAAACACATGAAGAATATAAAGCACACACAGAAGAAAATGTCCATACATGTTGTAGAATGCTAAAGTGTCCTGCATCATTTCCCTTCAAAAATAGAAAATGTATTGAATGCAAAAGTACACGGACCAGTTAAGAATAGCATTTCACAAATGAGAGAACTTGAATTTGGTTTGATTTTGGTTTGTGATAAATAAACATATTTGATTTGTGATGAATTAACTGCTGGAAATTTCATGGAGAACTTTTAGAGTATGATCGGATACACTGTAGTGAAGCTAAAGTCTCGAAAAGTAGTGCCCAACATGCTGGAACAAAAAAAATGATTTCTATCCACATACTTGGACTCAGCTGAGGGCCTAAATGCAACCATTCAGTTGTACAAACACTTTTTGAATGGACCACACTCGTCACGAACAACAAGGACAGCCAGGAGGAAAGACCCATTATACACTTGCTCAAAAAGTGTCAGTACCCAAATCAGGCAATAGAGAAAGAGAGACAGAAGGTGAAAGATAAACACAAGAAAAAAACGACCCTCACCACCAGAGAGAAGCAGGAGAACAGAAGTGCCGTCACATTACATCAGAGGTATCACAGAACCCCAGTACACACAAAGGATTTAACACCAGATCAAAAATGTTGGATGAGAGGGGGCGTGGTCAGTCTGAGCCCCCATCAGGACGACCACGCCTACTCAAGAAGTAACATCAGCTGATAAAATGACTTGTCACCAAGCCCAAGGTAATACATCTAATAATAAGATATACCTTTATCCGTCTCGCAGTGGAGATCTTCAGTGTCATCTTTCTGCACATTACAGCAGAGAAAGAAGGAAATAGAGCACTCAGATTGCACACATCAAAGTGAGTCTATTATTTATAATAATAGAGAATATAATTGAAATGAGACAAAGAATAAAATAAAATAAACTCTGGGGCTATAATTGCACTTGGTTCAGAAGTATTTACAGATATGTATATTGTACTTTAGCATCTAATCTGTCTTTAAAAAGAATCACAAAAACCAGAGAAGAAGCTTGTCTCACAGTTTTAGGAAGACTGTTCCAGATTTTAGCTGCATACATCTGCAATACTGCCTCCCCATGTCTAGTCCTGACTCTAGGCACCAGTGGGTTTCAGTCCCTGTGCTCCTCAGAGTCTGAGTTGGTGCAAATGGTACAACAAGCCACGAATGTGCTTTGGTGTGAGGCCACGGAGAGACAAGAAGCTTTAACGTGTATTTTAAGCAAAGGAAGGTTTCTCACCCATCATCTGTACTTCTTAGCAATGGCAGTGTATTTTAAGTGTAAGGAGCCACGGCAGAGACCTGAGAACTGGACTATATGTGATCGTACTTCCTAAAACTACTTTTTACTGTGTTACTGCACAGAGCCACATCATGCAAATAGGCACACATAAACATACTCCATTCTATCTGGTCAAACCATCTCCAGACTTTTCAGGTCTGTCCACTTTTGCTGTTGTGATCTTTCATTTCACTGTAGTCACTTTTAAACTTATTAACTTTTCTCCGCACTGTGATAATGTCTGTGGATATCCATTCTCCTCCATCCTCCTTCTTCCTCAAACACTTTGTTTATTTAATAAACTCACGCTGGTGTCCTCTCTTCAAACTGAAGAAGGTGTTGCCCTCATCCAGCGACAAAGGAATTGTTTTCTGTTCGAACGTCTTTATGGGTCAAAGCAATGTGTTGTTTATTATGATTTTCGCAACAGCTGATACAGCAGCTGAAGAGTGATTGACAGCGCCAGATGTTTTGGAATCTACTCGGCCCGGCAAGAACCAGGGCCATGCCCGCAAATCGGGGAGAGTCGACTCATGTCAAATGAATGGCAGTGCCAGGTTGGTCGGAGACGAGTTCCAGTCGTCAGACAGTCGAAACTTGTGGCACGTAATTCCAAAATCTTCGGCCGTGAGACATAATCTGTGAATTACCCAGTATGTCTAGCAATAGTGTTGGTTGGTCTGATGGGGACTTTTTGGAAATGGGGAGTGGGGCTTGGTCTCAGCAGAGTAGGCGTGAAGTGGGTACATCAGCCACTTAGAAAAAGAACGTGAGAGAAGAGTTTTAAGTCCTAATCAAATTAAGAGTAGTAGTGATATTGGTACTCACAGCTGCTTTGAAAAAGGCGATTGGTGACATTGCGTGTTGTGGGATGGGAGTTTATTGGTAAATGTAACAGAACCAGCCAAAGAGCCCCCTGCTTTGAACCCAGTGAGTAGGCCGTTACAGTCTGACCAACTGGAGACCAATGCACGGATAAGAATCTCCAAGTCTGCTTTAGACAATATATTATTGATTCTGGGCTAGAAGGGCGGTGGATCTGTTAGCATGCTATTTTCATGGTAAATATGTTATGTTCATTCATAGTGTTCAAAGGTTTCCATATTATTCAATGGACACTGATGATCCATATAAATAATAGTTTTTTGTAAAGTAACTACTCCAAGTATATTTGACATGCTTGTCTAAATGAGTATTGTGTTCGAGCTGATCAGCAATGGAATATGCACTGGAATGACTTATTCAGAATACTGTTTTGGAGCAACTCATATTCATAATGTAATCGTAATGCTTTTTTTATTTTTGTGGTTCCCAGAATACAGTTACCTTACAAATTTCTAAGGATTACATTTTTGTATTGGATCATGCAATTGAGGGCTTCAAAGGGATGACATAATAACTAAAACTAAAAAATAACCTAATTTTCGAAAAACAATTCAACTATGAGCAAAGGAAGGTTTCTCACCCATCATCTGTACTTCTTAGCAATTCAACTATGAAACAAAGTCCTTACTCTCAAGACTGATTTGTTTAAAATATTGAACTTTAAGAAGAATCTGTTGGTTATGAAAAACAACATGTTTTATTTATTATTACACAAAAAGTTAGGTACCCCAGTTTTTTTGAATGTAGCTATGTGCCTGAGGATGAAGAGGCCCCGCCCTGGCCTGGCTCTGGAGGCGGGCGGTATATGAGAGCGGGCGGCGAGACCCACATCCCTTTCTACCGCCATCAGAGCGGACTGGCTTCTCTCTGCACCGGAACACACACATTTCCAGCACCTCACCGCCGTACGTGCTCTATCCACCAGCCTAACAGCGCAGGTAAGACCCGTTAAAACATCCGCTAATCGCTCCCTTGACAGCTTTCCACCGCTGTCTCATGCGTAATGTCTCATGCGTAATGTCTCATGCGTAATGTCTCATGCGTAATGTCTCATGCGTAATGTCTCATGTGTAATGTCTCATGCGTAATGTCTCATGTGTAATGTCTCATGCGTAATGTCTCATGCGTAAGGACCGATTGCGTTTTCTTACATAAGGCCACATGCTCTGCTTCACTGCTGGTCCAGGCATATAGCGGCCATTGACACTGAGTCAAAAGGCGATGGAGACAACATAATGACATAATGCAGCTAAACACTATTTACTTTAAAACGTCCGGCCTTCAATGACCCAACAGCAGCAGCGACAAGAGGAATGGGGCTTAACTTGTCAAAAAACGAGCAATACTTGTTCCTTGTTTAACTCTGCCAAAACCAAGGATTAATTTGGACATCTATATACACTGGATTTATACGGCCCTGCTCTATATATATATATATATAACGATAACTACAGTCTCCCAACATAAGTTATCCTGTGATGCTGCTGTTTAACACGTACCTCGCCATTGCTCATACATGTGTTTTATGATACTGGCTATTTTGTGCAGCATAAGATACCATTTCAAACTATTTTTTTGAGTTGCTAACTTTGTCACTGTTGACAAGTGCCAACCCTAACCCAGGTTGAAATGTAGCCACATTAGGGACACTTGTTCCCGGGTTAAAATGTGTCGTCTCTGACCCGCTACACATGAGCTTCTGTCTCCTCCAACACACTTCGAACACTTTCTATGGATACTATGCTTGGTACATCTATACTTGCAAATGCGTTCGTTCATACTAAAGAATGATACGGGTTGGTTTACGTTTGTCATGACTATAGCGTTCACAATGACATACACAAAGCTCCGAGTGCGTTCGGGGGAAAAACCTGTGCTGCACACGAGCTAGCCGGAGCTAGCCGCTGCTAGCCGCTGTTAGCCGCTGCTAGCCGCTGCTAGCCGCTGTTAGCCGCTGTTAGCCGCTGCTAGCCGCTGTTAGCCGCTGTTAGCCGCTGTTAGCCGCTGTTAGCCGCTGCTAGCCGCTGTTAGCCGCTGTTAGCCGCTGTTAGCCGCTGTTAGCCGCTGCTAGCCGCTGTTAGCCGCTGTTAGCCGCTGTTAGCCGCTGTTAGCCGCTGTTAGCCGCTGCTAGCCGCTGTTAGCCGCTGTTAGCCGCTGCTAGCCGCTGTTAGCCGGAGCTAGCCGCTGTTAGCCGCTGTTAGCCGCTGTTAGCCGCTGTTAGCCGCTGTTAGCCGCTGCTAGCCGCTGTTAGCCGCTGTTAGCCGCTGCTAGCCGCTGTTAGCCGGAGCTAGCCGCTGTTAGCCGCTGTTAGCCGCTGCTAGCCGCTGTTAGCCGCTGCTAGCCGCTGTTAGCCGGAGCTAGCCGCTGTTAGCCGCTGTTAGCCGCTGCTAGCCGCTGTTAGCCGCTGTTAGCCGCTGCTAGCCGCTGTTAGCCGCTGCTAGCCGCTGTTAGCCGGAGCTAGCCGCTGTTAGCATCCGTGAGCATCCTGTGCCCTCTGGCAAAGCATGTTAAAGGCCGGGGTAAGACCGCAGTTTAACTGTTGTCTGAATGGTCGCTTGGACTCAATGGGCTCCTGTATCACCGTCTTGGCTGTGACGAACATGTTGAATTGTGCAAAAAATAACCTGGAGATACTTTGGGGAGGATCAGGGCAATTCTGTCCCCGGAGTTTGCCTGCAACACGTGGTTCAGGTGGTAAGATGAAGAGATCCGTTATTTGTCCCACAGTGGGGAAAGTTCAGTGTTGCATCACAGGTTATAGAACAGTCGGGTAGAGGAACACACGTTACCTGAACAATAGCGGTCCTAATTAAAATAAAACGTCTCCAACTCTAGCATCAAGGAGTATAAAAACTATATTCCTTTGGGAAGGAACTCTCCAAAGGTTGCAGGTGACTTATAACGACGCTCTGCGTGTGCTTCTCAGGAGGCCGAGATGGACCAGTGCGAGTGAGATGTTTGTCACTGCTGGAATAAACACGCTGCAAGCCACGGACGCTTATGTACCGTTTCATCTGCCGTTTGAATAAGTCTGTTAATACAGTCATTGGTTCATTGGTTGATGTCACCTGTAGTGCCATTCGCTATCAGTCGCTAATGTGGAGGCACTGGTATAGCTGTCTTTTTAAAGGGACTGTGTAATTTATTTGTTTGTAGTTTAATGTTGTTTGTGATGTCGCTGTCTTTTTTGGACCTTGAGTCCGTAATAAAGTTGAATTGAATTGAATATATTCAAAATAATAATAGATTTATAAAGTTTAACATTATATATAAAGTACTGTGTATTCTAGTGCAAGTAAAGTGTGGTTATGTTAGCAGCAGTATGTTTACATCTGTACATTAGCAGCAGTATGTATACATCTGTACATTAGCAGCAGTGTGTTTACATCTGTACATTAGCAGCAGTATGTTTACATCTGTACATTAGCAGCAGTGTGTTTACATCTGTACATTAGCAGCAGTATGTTTACATCTGTACATTAGCAGCAGTATGTATACATCTGTACATTAGCAGCAGTATGTTTACATCTGTACATTAGCAGCAGTATGTTTACATCTGTACATTAGCAGCAGTATGTTTACATCTGTACATTAGCAGCAGTATGTTTACATCTGTACATTAGCAGCAGTATGTTTACATCTGTACATTAGCAGCAGTATGTATACATCTGTACATTAGCAGCAGTATGTTTACATCTGTACATTAGCAGCAGTATGTTTACATCTGTACATTAGCAGCAGTATGTTTACATCTGTACATTAGCAGCAGTATGTTTACATCTGTACATTAGCAGCAGTATGTTTACATCTGTACATTAGCAGCAGTATGTATACATCTGTACATTAGCAGCAGTATGTATACATCTGTACATTAGCAGCAGTATGTTTACATCTGTACATTAGCAGCAGTATGTTTACATCTGTACATTAGCAGCAGTATGTATACATCTGTACATTAGCAGCAGTATGTTTACATCTGTACATTAGCAGTTTTGTTAACTTAATAAGTTGGTTGGTTTGCAAAGACAAATGACGTTTGTCAAGAGATTCATGGAGGTATTGAGGTTCGAGGTAGGTTCTAGGTTAATGCACGTTTGAAGTAGTTGGCCATTCTTCGTTCACAATTGGGCACGGAAAGTGTTTTACAGAAACTTTAAATGACATAAGAACCTATTCATACCTAACATCACCACCAGATTTTAGCTGCATAATTAGGGATGCGCAAAATACATCAAGTGAAAACTATTTTCAACATGGCATAAGTCTGTTAGTTTGAGTTCCATATTTTCTACAATGAGGAAGATGAAGCGTCTTTTAGTGGCGACAGTGGAGCTAGTCACTCTGGGATCAACAAAGCTATGTCCGAGATGACAGTTCTGATTAATGATAAATGGGGCACAATTACTTTAACAACACTCTGAGGCAAGAATTATGACCGTTTTGTCATTCCGGTAATTTGTTGAGCTGTAAATAAAAAAAAAACTAAAAAAAAAAACCTTCTGACTTAAAGGGAGGAGGATTCTCTTCCAGGTGGCTCAAGACTACTGGTCCTCCTAATTGTCAATCATTCTGGTGATACGTGCTAGTCAAATACTACAAGTTTTCTTCAAGAAGTGGAGAAAGTTGGTTGTTTCCTTAAATTTGGGAAAAGCTTCCTAATATACCTTTAAGTGCCAAGGTGAAGCTCCGTAGCAGTAAACAAACAGCCGGAGCAGCCGAACCTTGTGGCACGAAGCTTGGATGAGAGGCTGAGTTTGAGACGCTGCGCAGACGTTTCCAGGCTATAATCAGAAACAACCAGGCTCCGAATGCAAATTTCTCAGCGTTCATACAAGGTTGAAAAACGATGTAGTTCTAGCGCCCGGCCAGTAGTAGGCAGAGAAAAATTACAGCCCACACGCTGGACATTTGAGATGAAGAAAAAGCAAAATGAAAGAATTATAATTATAGTAAGTAAGTAATCTTTATTTATATACCACCTTTCACAGACCAGAGTCTCAAAGCGGTTTACAATTGTTATTTTTGGGCACTTGTCTCTCACTCCACACAGAGATGGGAGCGGGGTCGCCGAACAGGAGGCACATGCCAGAACTATTGTACATATTTTTTGTGGTGGGGGAAACCGGAGTACCCGGAGGAAACCTACGCAGACACGGGGAGAACATGCAAACTCCACTCAGAAAGGCCCTGGTCCGACCGGGATTCGAACCAGGACCTTCTTGCTGAGAGGCGAGAGTGCTATCCACTCTGCCATCGTGCCGCCAATTATGCAAAATAAATTGTCCAAAATATGAGTGGGAAGAATGGACGTTGGAACGTATTTCTTCAGAGTATCAACATCAGGGTTTCCTCCAGAGGATATCACCATTACATTTTAAATTCCCTTTTTATTTTTTGACCTGTATAAGTCCCACATCAAAAAGACCTAACATTATTTTAATTGGGGTACATGTGGTCTCAAATTATTCTTTTTACAATTAAGCTATAATCTGCAAAAAACAAATATTTTAACTGTTTTGAGCATTCACACAGAATGTGATATTATATAATTAAATGCAGATGCCTCCCCAGACTCGAACGAGAGTCGTCGGGGTGACAGCGCTATGGCTTAACAATTAGACCACCATTGCATACAATAACAAGTATTGTTACTTTTTATAGACCTAAAAAAGGCATTTGATACAATAAATCATACTATATTAATAAGTTAGAGAAATATGGGATAAGGGGTATTGCATTAGAATGGATAAAAAGTTATTTAAAAAATAGGAAACAGTTTGTGAAGCTTGACAATGTCAGCTCTCCATATGTGGATGTTGTATGTGGTATCCCCCAGGGGGCAGTAGTGGGTCCAAAGCTATTTATTATATATATTAATGAGTTGTGCAAGGTGTCGCAAATTTTCAAAACTGTGCTCTTCGCTGATGACACCAATTTGTTTTGTGCAAGTCACAATATAAGCGAACTCACAACTCAGATAGAAACAGAAATGAGCAAGTTAAAAAGATGGTTTGCTCAAAATAAATTGTCATTAAATTTGACAAACTAAAATTATGTTTTTTGGAAATTTTAAAGATAAGGAAAAAGTAACAATTAAAATAGAAGGTGTTGAAATGAAAGAGTAACAGATAACAAGTTTCTGGGAGTCATAATTGATAAGTTAAACTGGAAGAGTCACGTAACATATATACAAAAGAAAATAGCAAAAACTATTGCAATCTTATACAAAGCAAAGGATATATTGGATAAAAAATCGCTACACACATTATACCATTCACTAATTTCACCATATTTTAGTTACTGTGCTGAGATCTGGGGCAACATCTACAAAACCACGCTAAATCCACTCATCAAACTGCAAAAAAAGGTAATAAGAATCATCAATAAAGCTGGATACAGAGATCACACAAACTCATTCATTCAGTCAAAAATAATAAAGATTCATGACCTGATTGATTTACAAACACTTCTAATTTTATTTAGAGCTAGAAATAAACAGCTGCCTGCACACATACAGAATGTTTATTGAAAGAGAAACAAATTATAATTTAAGAGGATTGTTTTTTTTCCAATTTAAAAAGGTCCGCACCACATTAAAAAGCTTTGTTACTGACAGTGGAGTAAAAAAATGGAATGAATTGGACGCTGAACTTAAAAAATGTCAAACATTATTTGAGTTTAAAAAAAGATACAAAGAAGTTATTTTTAAATATGTTCGTGAAGCATGCTAAAAACTTCCAAGCGCTTGGTTGCATTTGGTAAAGAGATTTTTGATTTGTGAATTCAGAGTTGTAAGTAGGGGTGGGATTACACAAGTTTTTTTAAACTTCCTCCCACTCCTGTTTTGGACATAATTTGTTTGTTCGCTTAGTCAATGAAGAATTACATTGCTTTTGATTTCTCATTTTGAAACGTCCAAAATAAAAACATTCATTCATACTTTAACTGTCAATGAAGAACGCACTCAGGTTTTGCATCGCACAAAGTTTTTAATCCATTGTCAATTTTTCGAAACCGCCCTGATATAAATCCTTGTTTTAGTCTGTTTTGTCATTAATGAGAGTCTTAACAAGGCTTAGTTCTGCGGCCACATGTTATTTTACCAGCTAGGCAACCCGGATCTCCGACTTTCTGACTCGTGACACGGCGGAGGGTGGGACATCGAAATGAAAACAATTGCAACTTTGAACTAGTTTATTTCAAAGGGGACAATGCAATTTAATAAAACACATGATTAAACATGAGTTAAAAAAATACGGAATTGGTCAAGAAGGCTTTTTTTCTTCTGTAATCCCCTGGCCGCAATGTTAAAAAGCCATTAAAATACATTGACATTACAAGACATCAATCAAGACTAACATTATAGTGTTAGTGCATTCTTGAATGTGTTATTTACAAGACTTAAGCATATTGTACATAAGTTAATGAGGTGACTGTGTTTACCATCCATTCCTTTAGGTGCTGTGTTAAGCCTGGTTCACACTGCAGGATATTTAGGCCGATTTAGACCCGATTTACCCCTTACAACAATCTTAAGAAACGCTCCGATTTCCGTAACAAAATCTTACAGATATCCTGCCGTGTGGTGTGTTAAGACTGCACTCGTCGCTCGGAAGGACATCGGGACTGCTCCCGATCTCCCGATCTTCGTGTGTGATGTTTGTGGCTTGCGTGATCTTGCCGTGTGGCTACGCACCACACACTGCACGACCAAAGTGGTTAGACGCAGGATTTTTAATCTCCCCGTGTGGGGTCTAACACGGAGAAAAAACGGCCGACAATTTTAAAATCGTCTCGTGTGAACCAGGCTTTAGGTCCCGGTTATCAGTTAAAGATGTATTAGAAAAGAGCATGATTTATTAATACTTTTTGAAATATTTGGGCCATTTTATGATTTGACCTGCAAATATTACATAATGCTACTTTAAGCTTTGTCACTTTTTTATTTTGGCCCATTGAAGATGTGGACGTCCAGCAATATACGGAGAGGCAAAATCTAGTGTTTATTTGTGATCTAATTTTAGACATTTGAAAATCTGAGCCATGAAAGTTGGCCATATTTTTTTTGCAAAACTGCAATTTTCAGCCAAAGGAGTTGGGTTGAAAGTTCTTTGATTTGACTTTCCTAATGCCTTTTGTCTGTCTCCAGCTCTACAGTAGACTCTGCAAAGATGGCAGACATGGACAAGTGAGTATACACACATTTAGTCTTTTTGATCCAAACAGTATTTAAGAATATGTATTACAGTATGTAAGCGTTCCAGCTTAGTGTCTGAAATTCGAACGAAGCCTAATGTAAATTATGTACGTATACCAAGGACAACAGTTTGATTTCCAATGTTGCCAACACCTATTTACCAGCTTGACAATGTCAACCCTAGACCATATATGGACATGCCAAGGATGGAGCCATTACAAGTACTGACAAAATGGGTGGGGGCTTGTTTGTGCCCGACCTTCCTGATATTTTCATGGATAGAGCTAAGCTTTTTTGAGACTGATCATACTTTCATTGTAGAAAGCTTATCTTTATAATGAGACTAAGGCCCTGTCCACACGAAGTCAAGCTCAGGCCTAAACGCAAAAATACTTTATCAATCCAGTGTATGGTCCATACGAGGCCGGCGTTTTGGGGGGGTGTAAACGAACATTTTTGAAACTAGGTCCCAGAGTGGAAAGATTTCAAAACTCCGTATATGCCGCTCCGTGGTTACTGCCTCTCCGCAATGTATCTGAGACGCGTCATCGCCCCGCCTCTTGTTAAAGCACGCATGCGCCGCACTCAGAAAATAATGACAACAACAATGTAGCTTGTTGGTTTTGTAATCCAGTGTGACCCGAAGCAACAGTTCAACCTCATCGTCCGTCCATACTAATGTAGTACCAGCTCGCCCACTCGCCATGTTGTCTGTTTACAACATTCCGCGCATGCCCAGTTCCCGTCACGGAAGTTTGGGCTTGATCCCGTCATTGCGTCACAGCGCCACCAACAGGTCTGGCATAGTTTCACAGCGTTTTCAGGCGTATTGACTACATTCATATGGACGCACACATTTACTGAGCTAACTCCGTGTTTTCAGAAAAAGTTTCTGAAATTATAAGCGTTTTGTCTTCGTGTGGATATAGCCTTAGTTTCTCTATGAACTTCCAGTTTCCTCCAGGTATGGTAGGACGATGCTGTCTTTGGTTCTGCTCACTGTTCTTGCTGTGACACATTGATGGAGCCGCAGCTTCCGGATTTAGTTTCAGTGAATCAGCACTGAACACCCCGATCTCTGGAGCTGTAAATACTCCTGCCCCCTGATCAGTGATGGGAAGGTATCTTAAAGTAACAACTTGAGCTTAGCTATAACCATATGCCAAATGCAATTTTTGTACTCTTAAGAACTTCAATGTATAGATATTTTATTCAATATTTTATTCCCCTCCCCCAGTAGAAATTCAGGTGTCCAGTAGCAGCAGAAACTAATCAATGCAAACATTTCAAATGCATTATTCTAATAGTAGCTAACAATAGTAATACAATGCAACAGCACTTTAGACTACCACAGCAGGATGGTTCACAGCAGCAGAGGTCCACTGGGTGCAGCAGGATGGGTCACAGCAGCAGAGGTCCACTGGGTGCAGCAGGATGGTTCACAGCAGCAGAGGTCCACTGGGTGCAGCAGGATGGGTCACAGCAGCAGAGGTCCACTGGGTGCAGCAGGATGGGTCACAGCAGCAGAGGTCCACTGGGTGCAGCAGGATGGGTCACAGCAGCAGAGGTCCACTGGGTGCAGCAGGATGGTCACAGCAGCAGAGGTCCACTGGGTGCAGCAGATGGTCACAGCAGCAGGTGCAGCAGGATGGTCACAGCAGCAGAGGTCCACTGGGTCACAGCAGCACAGGATGGGTCAGCAGATGGTCAGCAGCAGAGGTCCACTGGGTGCAGCAGGATGGGTCACAGCAGCAGAGGTCCACTGGGTGCAGCAGGATGGGTCACAGCAGCAGAGTCACTGGGTGCAGCAGGTGGGTGCAGCAGGATGGTCACAGCAGCAGAGGTCCACTGGGTGCAGCAGGATGGGTCACAGCAGCAGAGGTCCACTGGGTGCAGCAGGATGGGTCACAGCAGCAGAGGTCCACTGGGTGCAGCAGGAGGCACAGCAGCAGAGTGGGTGCAGCAGGATGGTCACAGCAGCAGAGGTCCACTGGGTGCAGCAGAGTGGGTCAGCAGGGTCACAGCAGCAGAGGTCCACTGGGTGCAGCAGGATGGGTCACAGCAGCAGAGGTCCACTGGGTGCAGCAGGATGGGTCACAGCAGCAGAGGTCCACTGGGTGCAGCAGGATGGGTCACAGCAGCAGACTGGTCACAGATGCACGCAGCAGAGTCCACTGGGTGCAGCAGGATGGGTCACAGCAGCAGAGGTCCACTGGGTGCAGCAGGATGGGTCACAGCAGCAGATGGCACAGAGGCAGCAGCAGAGGTCCACTGGGTGCAGCAGGATGGGTCACAGCAGCAGAGGTCCACTGGGTGCAGCAGGATGGGTCACAGCAGCAGAGGTCCACTGGGTCAGCAGGATGTCACAGCAGCAGGATGGGTCACAGCAGCAGAGGTCCACTGGGTGCAGCAGGATGGGTCACAGCAGCAGAGGTCCACTGGGTGCAGCAGGATGGGTCACAGCAGCAGAGGTCCACTGGGTGCAGCAGGATGGGTCACAGCAGCAGAGGTCCACTGGGTGCAGCAGGATGGGTCACAGCAGCAGAGGTCCACTGGGTGCAGCAGGATGGGTCACAGCAGCAGAGGTCCACTGGGTGCAGCAGGATGGTCACAGCAGCAGAGGTCCACTGGGTGCAGCAGGATGGTCCACAGCAGCAGCACAGAGGTCCACACTGGGTGCAGCAGGATGGTTCACAGCAGCAGAGGTCCACTGGGTGCAGCAGGATGGGTCACAGCAGCAGAGGTCCACTGGGTGCAGCAGGATGGGTCACAGCAGCAGAGGTCCACTGGGTGCAGCAGGATGGGTCACAGCAGCAGAGGTCCACTGGGTGCAGCAGGATGGGTCACAGCAGCAGAGGTCCACTGGGTGCAGCAGGATGGGTCACAGCAGCAGAGGTCCACTGGGTGCAGCAGGATGGTTCACAGCAGCAGAGGTCCACTGGGTGCAGCAGGATGGTTCACAGCAGCAGAGGTCCACTGGGTGCAGCAGGATGGGTCACAGCAGCAGAGGTCCACTGGGTGCAGCAGGATGGTTCACAGCAGCAGAGGTCCACTGGGTGCAGCAGGATGGTTCACAGCAGCAGAGGTCCACTGGGTGCAGCAGGATGGGTCACAGCAGCAGAGGTCCACTGGGTGCAGCAGGATGGGTCACAGCAGCAGAGGTCCACTGGGTGCATAGGTCACACATTTCTCTGGTCCTGATCATGAACACTGTACTGCAGTACATGTCGAGGTAGATAAAGGCAACAAAAACAATTGTAAAGCACAAAACAAACTGTTTCAGAGCTACTTGGTCCTTGTTGCCATTAAAAAGTAAACTTGTGCCCTGCTGCTTTTTTAATTTGAGTAAAGTTAGGCTAAAGCATGTACAGTGCCTTGCGAAAGTATTCGGCCCCCTTGAACCTTTCAACATTTTGCCACATTTCAGGCTTCAAACATAAAGATATAAAATTTGAATTTTTTGTCATGAATCAACAAGTGGGACACAATCGTGAAGTGGAATGAAATGTATTGGATAATTTAAACTTTTTTAACAAATAAAAAACTGAGAAGTGGGGCGTGCAATATTATTCGGCCCCTTTACTTTCAGTGCAGCAAACTCAGTCCAGAAGTTCAGTGAGGATCTTTGAATGATCCAATGTTGTCCTAAATGACTGATGATGATAAATAGGGCAAGGCAAGGCAAGTTTATTTATATAGCACAATTCATACACAAGGCAATTCAAAGTGCTGAACAAAACAAGAAAGCATTAAAATCATAAATTATCACAGAACATTAAAAAGAAAGATAGAAATATAAAATCCCTCAGTTGTATGCACAGTTAAACAGAACCGTCTTTAACCTGGTTTTAAACATTGTCAGAGAGGAGGCCTGTCTCACATCTTCAGGAAGACTGTTCCAGATTTTAGCAGCATGAATCTGAAAAGCAGCCTCCCCATGTTTAGTTCTGACTCTGGGCACTAACAGGAGTCCAGTCCCTGTGCTCCTCAGAGTCCCAGCAGGAGTCCAGTCCCTGTGCTCCTCAGAGTCCCAGCAGGAGTCCAGTCCCTGTGCTCCTCAGAGTCCCAGCAGGAGTCCAGTCCCTGTGCTCCTCAGAGTCCGGGCTGGTTCATATGGGACTAACATGTCACTAATATATTTTGGTGCGAGGCTATGGAGAGACTTGTAACAAGCAGAGCTGGGACCATGAAGCATGAAGACAAAGGAACACACCAGGCAGGTCCGAGATACTGTTGTGGAGAAGTTTAAAGCCGGATTTGGATACAAAAAGATTTCCCAAGCTTTAAACATCTCAAGGAGCACTGTGCAAGCATCCATCCATCCATCCATTTTCTTCCCTTTAATCCATTTCTGGGTCAGGGGGGTGGCAGTCAGAGATGCCACCCAAGTCTCATAGCACCAGCCCCTCACTGACCCTCTGCAGGTGGTGAGTCCACAGGAGGACGGCTGCTCTCTGAGTGTGAGCATAGCCTTGATCTTTCAGTGGGGGCTTTGGGCAAAGTGGGGTTAAGTGTCTTGCCCAAGAACACAACGACAGCAGTCATCAGTGGGAGTCGGTGGAGATGGTGTAGAGGTGTCCCACTGTGCAAGCAATTATATTGAAATGGAAGGAGTATCAGACCACTGCAAATCTACCATTTCAATGTTCACTTTGAAGTGAGGGACTTTATTTGTGGGTCCTGTTAAGTGATGATTTCTCTTCAGCAAAGAGCAGACAGAGATGGACCCTGCAGACATGGAGGACGTGGAGGAAGTTGAGGAAGAAGAGACTGGAGAAGACGTCAACAGCAAAGGTAAAACAAATACTTCTTTTTTTTTAATGGTCAGCTGATTGGGATTGAACTGATATTAGATGTGAATTTCATTTATTTTGGGGTACAAACTGCTTACCAAATCTGTTCTGAGAATGGCAAATGTCCTTCCTGTCTTTTATTGCTCCTTGATGGTCCTCCTGTAGAAGTCTGCTTTAAGGATCTGATCAGAGAAAGGTCCTCTACAGATCTTCACATATGATGGACTTCAGACTTTCTGAATGAAGACAAACCTTTTAGCTGGTGATCACAAAATGGACAGTCTTCTGGGAGACTTGTATCACAGCAACAATCTATGACATGAAGGCAGAACATTTTTCTTAAAACGCAACATTCTGTGATCAACTATCGGTTAGGAGTGTGACAATATATCGATATGATGATGTATCGGGATACTTTCTGATGCAATCAATATGCTCTTGCTAAGTATCAATTTTTATGTTTTTAGATTTTTTATATATGGCTACATTACGCATTCTACAATTTCTGTAGAATGTTCATATTTTTATTTTATGTAACAGATTAAGATTTTAACTAAAATGTGCAGGTTAAAAGGAATTTTTTTTCATCCATTTATCTTGAAATAAAGTGTATTTTTGTTTAATTTATGCCATAAATATAAAATATTATCAAAAGTATATTTTTCACCAATATATTGATAATGGTTGCATCGTCATGTCGTGAGGTACCCTGAGGTACACGTGCTTAGATGGTTTTTGAGCATAATCTGTGAAACGGCCGAGGAGTTGCTTTCCAATTGACATGTGTGAAATTGATCCATTTTCCATTGTAATCAAGGTTTCCTGTTTGTCAAGGAAAGTGGTCATAACTTCTTTTTCATTTCTCGAGTTGACCAATAAGTGTACCGAATTTTGTGGCTCTCCGACAAATTTGACCTGACCCCCTATGGAGCTATTACTTCAATATTTGCGTCCATAAAGATTTTTGTTTGTAACCAGGTTTGTGTAACTAAATCTGCGTGTGTTTAAAAAAAAAAAAGTTTTACACAGATCTTTTGACACAGTCCTGCCTTCGCAGATTCCAAAGTGTAACTTGGACTGTGCATGTCTACGTAGAATTTTTATTTTTACACATGCAAATATATTTTCTACGCACGCAGATTCTTTTACGCACACACAAATCTGGTTGCGCACACACATCTGGTTGCGCAGGCACAAATATTATTGAAACAATAATGGCTCCATAACCCCTTCACATAGGCGCAATGTAAACTGACTTTTGAAGGGGGCGCGTTTTGGTATCCCCTTCATACTATATATAATTTTTTTTAGTAGTGTAGAGCAAATCACACTGTATATGTGAGTGTCCATAGTCTCCAGTGGATAACATCGGAACTTCACACCTCTATGAAAATAACCACAATTTGGGAATCTTCTGCACGCAGACCATTTAACACTCTAGGCGCCACGATCGACTTCAGTTGATAAGTTGCGGTACTGTTTAAAACCTGTAAATCTCCCTGGCCCCAAAAAAAGCCATGCTCCCATACAAAATATTTGATCAAGACTGCATTGAATCAGTGCGGATAACCTAGCAAAGCGAGAGCAGCTGTGAGGCAGCGTTCAAGTGTTATACCGCACTAACTTTAGACACTTCGCACAGTCAGTGGTGCAATGTTTCTGAGCCAGTGCTATCATTGGGAGGTTTGCAGACAGGTTAGATTTGCGGAGACCAATTTGATGGTCAGTGTTGTTTGATGGGTGCTATTATTGGTCCTGATGGCATATCGATGCTCAGCATTTTTTTTCAGTCCAATCTAAAAACTTTACAAAAGGAGCGAGTGCATACAGGGATAAAAAAATAAGTGGGAAGAAAACATGATCAGGTGCTCTTATAAGATCTGAGGGAAAATATGTGAAATGAAAATTTTAAAGATCAACAGAGAGGAACAGGAAGAAGCTGGAACATCAGGAAGTCCAGCTCAGTCCTGGGCTGTTCCCTGGACACAGTGCAGCAGGTGGGGGACAGGAGGGTCCTGAGCAAACTAACATCTATGCTGGACCATGACTGTCGCCCCCTGCAGGACACTCTCTCTGCTCTGGAGAGCAGCTTCAGTGACAGACCAATTCACCCTCGATGTGTGAAGGAGAGGTTCCGTAGGTCTTTCCTTCCTGCTGCTGTCAGACTGTACAACGAGAATGTAACAGGAACTGCTGAGTCTGCACAAGTCACTGATAATTCACTAGTAACTTTGTCACTAGTCACTTTACCTGTTATCAGTACTACTACAGTACTACATATCTGATATTTACTGTTATCAGTACTACAGTATTATTTCATATCTGATTATTCTGCCTTTCACCGTCACTTTACCTGTTTTTCTGTTTATTCTGCTCATATTCTTATTCTCTGCGGCTAATGTATAATATAGACATCTGTAAATACTTTTGAACCAAGTGCATTTATAGCCCAGAGTTTCTCATTTTATTTTATTATCTTAATTTTACTGTCTATTACAGGGGTGCCCAAACCTTTTGCTTCCAAGGGCCAAAGTAAAAATTTGCCAGTGGGCCGCGGGCCAAATACACCGATATTAAGCATGAAACACAAATGTAGAGTTGATCAAGTTCAATTAAATGCATTAATTATTGTCTATCAGTGCAAATCACAGCTGAATTAATGAAATCAACAGTCTCATGTGAAGTGGAGGCTCCAGGGAAATATGCAGGTTTGAGGAGACTACAGTACGGAAAGATTCCGGCCGGGTAATCAGGGTCCAGAGGAGGGAGATTTTCTGTCATGGCTTATTTACAAGTTAAAATCATATAAACTTCTAAAAGAGAACAGAAACATACATTTTCTATGTAAATAAACTGTTTTTTAAATGCTACTTGTAAACAAATAATGTTCCTGCTAGTAAATGAACGTACTAATTTATATTAAATAATATCATACTCCCAAATCTATTTTTAACCTGCTCATGTCAGTAAACTGTTTGTTGAAGACTTTTTTCTAAACAGTTACTATAGTAGTGATTTATAATGTAAAGGTTTATTGTACTAATGACATTTACTTTACAAAAGTCTATTTTCATATTTTTATTTTGAACAAAAGTTTTTACTACATTTGAATCATATTACTTTCTTAGCTTTTATCAAAAAGGGGAGACATCACGGATCAATAGATCTGGTTTTAGCACACTTTAACTTAATATTTTTAACATAGGACAAGTATTCTCTATTAGTAGTGAACTGAATATTAAACTAACGAAATCAGACTAGTTAACCCTGATTTGTTCCTAGAGTTTTTGTTTTACCTAAACACAGTACAACATTTATAGACAATCAAAACAAAGTAACTGTTAAAGAGTCCGTGTTTCCGCTCCTCGAAAGGGCTCTTGAACGCATCATAAAACTCTAAGTTCTGACATTCAATGATCGTGAGTGAGGACGGCGCTTACCGGCTTCTTTCATGGGGTTGTAGAAGGGTTTGTTTTGCACAGTATTTGTTGCTTCTACTTGCATGGAGCGTGCGCTGCGATCCCTGCTTGTTCTGCTTGAACTGTGGCCCATTCCCAATACTCGCACTTCCACCTCGCGCCCCTCATTTGCGCGTTCCCGATGACTGGTGTGAGTGCGTAGGGTGTCCCAATTCTCCAGGGAGGTCTTTGGCCCCGCCCCCTTTGCGCCCCTGATCCCCACTTCGCCGTAGCCTGCATCTATGGGCACTCCGGCGAAGGATATTGCCCATAATTCTTTGCGGTACACACCAAAACGACGGGAAAATGCAATTAAATACATTTTGAAATATATATGCAGTATGTGTGTAAATAAGTTTTGCTGTTACTTGGAAAGAAGCATAAACGTCTGAAGAATTACGGACATTGTGTTTTAACAATTTAATAACTTTTTAAAGCGTTTATATAACATTCAATTTAAACTTTACACTTCGTACAATAATCTTAGAATGTATAAAAACTGACCAGATAGTTAGTTACCCACATTTAACTTAAAATTACACCGCTATCTCTAATTAAAAACAACTAATATAAATGTATTTTAACGTGTGTGAAGCAATTCATATTGTTTCCCAAAGGGTCAGACAAAATTACCTTTAATTTTTATACAGTTTAGGTCTGAAAATGACCATCTCTGACGAGTCGATGACGTCACCTGCACTCAGTGTGCACTGTCCCAATTCTGTCTTTTGTGCTGTAACCTGCCACTCAAACCCTGGTGTGCACTTCGAACAAATGCACACTTCATAGGAGGGCGAAGGGTGCAGTGTGGGTATTGGGACCGGGCCTCACTCTGAAGTGTGTGTGTGTGTGTCCGTCCTTTTTTAACACACCGGGTGGGTGTGGATTGCGCAGGTGAATAGTTCCACTCGCCGTTTCCCTCCGGTGAGGAGGGGGAGTGGCAGTTCACCAGCACAATCCTCTCAATTTGATAAAACATTAAATTGCTCAAAAAAATAATAGTAGGCTGAAAAAAAAGAACATAAAGGGGCCTTGCACCCAATTGTTTTGAAAGATGTGTTTGATTTTAAACATTTTAGTGCAAGTAGATGTGAACCATGAATGTACTGTTGTATCGAGATACACTCCAGTACTGGACAGTCGTGGTTCAGAGGGCGTTTGTGCGATCTCAGACATGTCACTGTTTGAGCAGCGAGGTTAAGGGATGCAGATAGAAACTTACAGCGGAGGTGGGCAATGTTTGGCGGGCCAACTGAAATGGTCCGGCGGACCAACTTTGGGCACCCCTGGTCTATTACCTTAAATAATAGACTTTGTGTGCAATCTGAGTGCTCTTATTCCCTTTCTCTGCTGTAATGTGCAACGATGACGCTGAAATTTCTCCACTGTGAGACTAATAAAGGTTTATCTTTATCTTATCTTACTGAACGGCTCTGCCCACATGAGAATTCTCTCTGAAAAGGCATTGCCTGGCGGACCAGAAAGGGGGGCTTAGAGTGGGGCGTGTTCTTGGCTGTGATTGACAGCTCGGTTCCCAATCACACCCCACAATCAAAATTGTAGCTGTCATTTTACTTATTACCTGCACGTTTTTATTTAAGGCTGTGTCAAACATTTGGCTATTTATGTCCATTGCTGACTAAAATGTGTATTGTGGCTGGTGTTTTTCAGCGCGTCAGCTGACTGTCCAGATGATGCAGAACCCACAGATCCTCGCAGCACTGCAGGAGCGACTCGATGGGCTCAACGGCTCCCCCTCAGGATACATCGAGAGGTGAGGCCCCTCAATTAAAGGGACGGACTAAGCCTCATGTGGTGACCAGTGGATTACTAAATGCGGAACCACTCACTGAGCCTTCATAATCTCTGTCTGTAACACAGGCAATTATTGAAGTGGCATCAGCCAATCAGACCACTGCAATCCCTGCCCATACAGTACTTATGTAGAAGTTGAATCAATACTTGTCTACATTTTCTGATTGTGCTAAAAACTTGTAAAGAAACAATGTTTATTCAGCATTTTATTTATATGGTACAATTTAAATCATGTTGCTGATGAGAAATTCCAGAATAGAGCTTATAACTGAGGAAAGCACACCTTGTTAAATAACCACAATTATCCATGCGCTTGAGCCACAGATAGATTTTTGTTATGGCATATTGCGAAAGGTCATTATGTCATCAAATTGCACAGGGCCCTCCTCCATGCTAGGTACTCTGTTGGGCCCTGGTGGGACTGCGCAGGCTCTGACGTCAGGAGAAGGCACCAAAGCAACCGGCGTTAGCCCAGCGGCGTTAGCCCAGCGGCGTTAGCCCAGCGGCGTTAGCCCAGCGGCGTTAGCCCAGCGGCGTTAGCCCAGCGGCGTTAGCCCAGCGGCGTTAGCCCAGCTCACATCCATGGGCTTAATGTTGACAAGCGTCTGCGTGGGCCACAGCATCATCACAGCAGAAGTTTGGAAAAGTTAGCGTCAGATTCAGACTTCCGCGGCCAATAGCTCACGGAAGCTACTTTGTAAAACAAAAGTAATTGTGCCAATATAACATTTACAGCAATTGTTCAAATCCATTGGGATGTTTTAATGCAGAGAAATCCATTGCTGCAATCGCCAAGAAAAGTGCTTATGGAGCGCAGACAAATGTCAAGATCAGCTTTGTAAACAATTTTTAGTTTTTTATATTTTAGATGAATACAAAAATTCTTTTAAATTGCTTTTACAGTAAATGGTAACATAAATAATGGTGTTACAGCATTTGTCTGAAGAGTTCCACCTGTTTATTTAATTTCATTCTTGACTAAGGATTTTTATATATGTGTGTGTGTGTATATATGTAGTCAATTGAGTTATAAAAACTGACTATGAAATTCCATGATTCCTGTGTAGATTGAAATTAGGACTAAAAAGTGCTCAGACCGATCCACCCAAATGGTGTCCCTTATTTTTCTGTTCTCAAATTTGCAACCCTACCCACAGGGTCTTCAGTTCAATCTGCATTTCAAAAGCATGGTCTAAAAATTGGGGCTGTCAAACTAATACAATTTAATTATAGCTTAAAAATGTACTAATCGTAATCTCATTTCAAACTATCGGCAAAATTACGCAATTTTTCTGTAAATGGTTGTTAGAATGTACTGATTCTTCTGTGCACAAACCGTGGTATGGCACCCACATCTACAAATTATTTAAAGCTTTCAGACCCTCTGTTTATTTTGAAGGGTCAATTGTGATCTACCACTGTGGTAGTTGAGATGAGTTTTGGCACAACCCTAGCCTCGAGAGCAGGGGTGTCGAGCCGGTCCTCAAAGGGCCAGTGGGTCTGCAGGTTTTATTTCAAACTCACAGATCACACCAGACTCTAGTCCCTGCTTTGAGACCCCTGCTCTAGAGGGAAGCATCTGTCATCTCACATCAGCACAGTTGTATTGAACCAAATGTCTTACAAACATTGTGATTTTTGGCAGTTTACCGAAGGTGGTGAAGCGCCGTATCAATGCTCTGAAGAACCTGCAGGCAAAGTGTGCTCACATTGAGGCAAAGTTCTACGAGGAAGTCCATGAACTGGAAAGGAAGTACGCCGCACTCTATCAGCCTCTCTTCGACAAGGTGCTGTCTGCTTCTGTTCTTAAGAGATTGTCCCCAGAGCAAACTAATAGTTCCATCCACAAGTCTGTGCTTCAGATGGCTTTGCCGTAATGCATATCCCAGGCCTGAGGGCATCATGCATGGATGTCCAATCTACTCGGAGACTAGCAAAGAACTCCAGGATTCAGAATCTGCAATTATTACATTTGTCCTAGATATCAGTGTTACAACATAGAATAAGCTTGGAGGCACAATCTGGCAAGAAAGCCTGTGTGTTATGCAGTGTTCAGACTGCACGCTTTTCGGACGTCAAACGCAGCCAACGTGCCTTGTACGCTTGTGCTTACAACAGATTCTGTCTCCGAGCGTTCTGGACGCACGTCTAAACAAGTGGGAAGAGCACTTTGGACGCGTTTGGTGTGAACACAGCATTTCGGGGCTTCACCTGTCCATCACTAGCTATAACTAACACTAGCGTTATTTATAACAGCTGTTAAAAAAAAAAAAAAAAATTGGCCCTAAAATATAAGTGGAGGATTTGGAGCATCTTGACGCCCCTACTGAATAGTCATCCTTTTATGCATGCTTTTATCGATTTTTGTTTCTTTACACACTGGCTCAAGGTGCCAACAAACTACTTGTTTAATGGCAATATAGAATTCTGATTTCTTCATAAACCACTTTTAGATATTAATAATCAAAGTTTAAGAATTCATGATCACAAGTACCCCACACTGCAGCAACAATCTTTGTGCATGCTGGCTTTGCACTCAACTGTGACTTGGTCTGTGTGTTCAGAGGAGTGAGATTGTTAAAGCGGCCTACGAGCCCACGGACGAGGAGTGCGAGTGGAAGGCAGACGATGAAGAAGAGCTCACAGTAAGTAAACAGGTACAGAAACATGAACTACTCAAATCTACATCATGAAGAGTCTGCACTAGTTGGCTTGTATTAACTGTATGTGTAGGTTGATCATCTCTGGCTGAATGATTGGTTGAAAAAGGGCACGTTTGTATGTCTCAGAACTGTTTTTGAAACTGTTGTGGTGCTGTAAATGAATGGATTTGTTATTTATCCTTTTTTGGATCTTCAAATCCCCAAGTGTGCTTGAAAGGAGTGCATGAAGGAGTCTTTGTCCCCTTTGATTGGCCCAAACTATAATGTAAATACACTCAGCAACTCGTGCTCATAGGTGGGGCCCAGTGACTGTAAGTGGGCAGGGCCTACAAAGAAGTCTTTAGCAATGATCCATCCATCCATCCATCCATCCATTTTCTTCCCTTTAATCCATTTCTGGGTCAGGGGGGTGGCAGTCAGAGATGCCACCCAAGTCTCATAGCACCAGCCCCTCACTGACCCTCTGCAGGTGGTGAGTCCACAGGAGGACGGCTGCTCTCTGAGTGTGAGCATAGCCTTGATCTTTCAGTGGGGGCTTTGGGCAAAGTGGGGTTAAGTGTCTTGCCCAAGGACACAACGACAGCAGTCATCAGTGGGAGTCGGTGGAGAAGGTGCAGAGGTGGGAATTGAACCCACGACCTTCTGGGCTTAAGGCCAATGCTCTACCAACTGAGCTACTGTCGCCCCACTTTTTAGCTCCCCTTCTTTAGCAATGACATTTTAGAATATTGTGGAAAAGGTTTCCGATTTAAATGTTTTGCCCCGTCCCAATTGTCACCCAATTAATTTGTACCCTTGCCCTAGATTTTTCGTGTGCCCATGGGGTTGTAGGGTGCACATGTACACATGCATGCACACACACACAAATGCCATTCCACACTCACTCTTACCCAGTTTAATTCATATGCAACATCCACACGCATCTAGTCTTTCTCTCCCCTCTGTTACTAGTCCACCAAAGTTGCACACTTGTGCGGATTAGAACTACATTGGAGCATACATGTACACACACATCCTGTGTGTCACGCAGCCCAAAGGATCCTCGCAAATACGCAGCTTCAGTCAAACCACATGGAACATGTTTTGCTGCATTAGCGCAGCTCACACACATCACTTGTATTTAAACTTTAGCGGAGACCTGCGAGACTCAGCTCGTCACTGGCTGCTCTTACCATGTGGACGAGCTATCGTTTGCTGTTAAAAAGCTTTAACCCTGCACAGAAGAATGGGAAGATTAACCTTTTAAGGATCACCCTGCTTGTACAGGGAGGATTCAGATATTTTTCATTTAACCGCATCAGTATTAGAATTCACTTGTATCAATATAGTCAAGCTATGTATCTTTTGAAAGCTTATTCCCACCTCTAAACACGTATTGTGTTCAAATAAACATTAAAGATAACCAAAAGTAAGAATAAGTAGTCAAACTGTTAATATATAAAATCATCCTTTCTTACCTTTTCATGCTAATATTCTGGGGCAAATCGCGTCTAATCCACACATGTGTGCATTATTTTTGTTCATTAGGGTCCATAGTATAATTATATCCAGTTTTTTCTTCAAAGTCATCCTTCCATCCATTTTCTACCCTTTAAAGGACAACTCACCCTCAAATCCACTTTTTTTTGCTGATAAACGATATAAATGAGTGTCCAATAGTGTTGTCTACATATCCTGGTCATAATTTTGTCACTTTGGTGCAAATTAGTTGAAAGTTAAACTTTCTGCCTAAAACCGTCTGTGAGGCGCCATCTGCTGGCGACCTGTATTACTACATTTGAATTTTGAATCTGGCGCCAACACTGGCACAGAAGTTGGACCTGACGTCTGCAGCCCCCCGCCCAGAGCAATGTAAACGGCCCAGTCTCGTTCACGCCCCCTTTAGTCCTCCAGGCCACGCCCATTTAGAGGAAGATTTGAACAGGAAATGTGAGTGACGTAAGCTCCGAGGAGCGGGGGTGAGAACCACTTTAATCCATTTCTGGGTCAGGGGGGTGGCAGTCAGAGATGCCACCCCAATGCTCTACCAACTGAGCTACTGTCGCCCGACCAAAGTCATCCTTATAGTAGATATCCACTAACATATTTGAGTATTGAAAGTTGCACAAACGAAACCTGTTCTTTGCGCACTGTATGAAGAGGACATTTTACTATTTACCTAGCGTCACTGGGTATGTTCGTCTTCCTCTGTCTTCAAAACACGCACATTCCCAGACTTTTCTGTGCTATGGTTTGGGAGGTAGAGTAAGTTTAGTAAAAAGCGCGTGTCCATTGGCCGATTTGGCTTTTAATTAAATAATTTTTTAGCCAATAATCTCAGGTTTCAGGCGATGTGTCGGACTTCTAGCTTCCCACTGTTCCAGTCATATTTGAATGTGTAGAGGAAGATGGAGCCTTTTTCACGAACACGCGCTATAACTAAATAGCTTTTCTGCAAACATTTCAATATCTGGAAAAAATGCTATTTATAGCAAGATTAATAGCCAAAAAATGATATTTGATTTTTGGTGTAAAAACATAGATAATTTGCATGTAAAACACTTACAAAAATGGACCACTTGTGCCGAATGTGCCCATTAGTTACAAAAAAGCCCCCGGCATCAAAATGGTTCCACCTAAAGGTCTAACATTTCATTCAGTTGTTGCCAACACCAGACATCTGTTGAGTTTGAACAACATACCATAAAGTATGTCTTAAAGAGAACCTTTTTGAATTTATTTTTGTCTCTGAAAAGAACTTTGACTCATGTTTGAGAAGGTGCAGACTGTCCTTCCTATCAAACTGTAAAATACATTCCAAGAAACTAGAAGGTGTTACCTTTCAAATGAGGCATAACACATCAGACACCAGCATTTCCATTTTGGGATCATAATTCGAAAAGGAACCGGCGAAATTAGGTGATCCTCAAAGGGTTTAAAAAAATATATATTTGTGCTGAATCTGTTGCGGATATCGTTCCGCTCGGCTCTGACCCAGTAGAACGCATAGCTGCACTTATGAAAAGTGCGTGGCTCGAAATTTCAAAAGAACGTGAAATATTTGAAACTACGTGGTTCAGTTAATTGGACTCTGTGGTCGGTCATGAAAATTTAGTTTTTTACATCCCTACTTCTTCCCCTGGAGTGTCTTTAGCTCAATCTGGACCTCCCACGGTGAAGGACTCAGCATTCCCAGCCGCAGCACTGCCCTTCTCTTTGTATCCTGTATTGGCCCTCATGCCCTTCCACCCTTCCTGGGTGTTATGCTGCACTTTCTCCTCCAGACCATTCTTGTACTCCCTCCTTGCCTGTCTCAATGTCCTCTTCAAGTCGTGTTAGACGGGTCTCATCTGGTCCCTGTCACCTGCCTTAAGCCTGTTTCTTAAAGACCTTATGCTGGGTTTGATTTATTTAGAAAGTTTTAATACCATTTTATATTAGAAGAGAACTACTAAAGGTTTCTAAATCAGTTGTTTTTTTTGTCTGATCCCCCCAAATCGAAATAACCCCATAGCAACGCTCTTAGAGACGGAAAAACTTCACAGCCCTTGGTGACGTCAGAGCGGGTACGTTTCAACGCTGTAAGTTGTTTACAATTTGGTATTCGTTCTTTTTTCGCGGATATTCAAGATGACAAGGCCGTGTACAGAGTCTGACATAAATCCTAGATTGTAACTCTTCGTTGTCACTGAGATAGTCCAGTGGTTGTGTCGATGGACTGTCAATCCAGATACTTGGGTTCAAATCCCACCTCAGACACATTTTCACTCAAAACGTCAATTAATGTGTAGTGAGCAATTGTCACCTGTAGAGGGCAGTATTGTGTTGGGCATCAGTGGAGAGAAGAGAGAAAAGGCAGTCCTGTGGCATAGATCCATGGTTTTCAATGCATGGGCGTTACCCGCTGTGACGTCACACACAGGTTAGAGCATAGACAACTTAAATTCATGAAACACGTTCTTTTTATAAAATATAGGATTTTTTTTTGCCAGAATCTATTTCAGATTGACATTGTCATGCAATTTTGATATCCACTTTTTTTTTTTTTTTTTTAAACCCGGAATAAGGTCTTCAAGGTAGAGCTCCTTTTTTTAAAACGATAAATTACAGGCCTTCTCATCATAGGTATACTTATTAGTTGAGGTATACCTATCTAGAAATGCAGAAAATAGTCTGATTTTTATTTTTTTTAAGAATGAATTTGCAAATTATGGTGAAAAATAAGTGGTCACCTTCAAACAACCAAGATTGTGACTCATTCTTTGACAGGATCTTCTGTCCTCTACTTGTTACCTGTTTTTAATCGTTATCAGTATGAAAGACCTGTCCAGAACCTCATTCACACTCAACTCCACTATGGCCAAGAAAAATATGATGGAACTTTTTTATTTTATTTTGCTCATTTGAACACTGGTGTATGCTTGCTTCACTTTGTATTTGAATGACTTACTGACTGGATTAAGAAATAATTTATGATATTGACATACAGTGGAAAAACTATTAAATAATCCCTGCACACCTATTTCAGGAAGAAATGAAGGAGAAGGCAAAGCTGGAGGAGGAGAAGAAAGATGAGGAGAAGGAAGACCCCAAAGGGATCCCAGAGTTCTGGCTCACAGTGTTCAAGAATGTGGACCTGCTCAGCGACATGTTGCAGGTCTGTTCCTTTGCATTCCTAACTGCTATAGAGTTTTAAACCTTAGGGACATTTCTGATATTGGCATGGAACCAAATTGCCTTGAGTTGAGATGTGTCTAGTTCAATTGCATTATTTCAACTGCATGCCTTCCATCAGCCTACACATTTGGTTTGAATAAAGCTGCAGAATGTATTTTCACTTCTACCACTGTGGTGGTGTTTGTTGGTCAAAATAAAAATCAGTAAGATGACTAGACAATTTGGGCATATATGGGGGGGGTTCGGGACACTGACACTGAAGCGAAGGTTCCAGGCGCACTGTGCGTTCAGTGCGCTCTAAGTTTCAGACACTAGGGGTGTTCAAACCTGGTGCCTGGCCGAAATGCTTTGATGCTGAGTTAAGCTAGCGGCTTTTTGTGTAAAGCTTTTCAAGAATGCAGTTCTGCAGAGTCTTGGCGGAGGTGCACCATGAGGGTATTTTCATTATTAAAGGGTACTTCCGCATCGGTGAACCTTGCTAGCTGCACTTGTTTTCAGTCACTAGAGAATAACTCTGGCTGGAGGCATATTGTTAATGCTGATTCAAGCCACAATTGCCTTGACAAAACCACACAGGCAAATATAAGTCTTACTTGCACCAAGTGAGTAGTGACTGAGGAGGATTTGGCTGAATCAGTCTCGGGCACTACTGACTTCTGCTCCCTCGGTTGGGATCTTTAAATGAAGTTGAAATCACACTTCCATTCAAGGTAACAATGCCCAAATGCTTCAAGGAAGCCCCTCCTTATTTACATATAAACAATGTGTCTGTGGTATACAGACTTAAAAAATCTATGGCTCCGAACAAATTAAAAATCAATTTGACTACTCAGCTGGCAACCTTTGAACCATACAGACCCTGTTTTTACTGTAACATGACAAATCTAAAGCCTCAATCAATTCGCATCCCATTGGGTTGAAATATGTGTGTGCGTCACATGCAGAGTGTGATATTTTGTTTCTAATGCTAATCATATAATATAAAAAAAAGGCCACCTTGCATAATGTATTAATACATATTAAATGGTTTTACTAAATTACCATGATAAAGGTGGAAATGGTAATGATGGTAAACCTGCTCTTATTGGTCCCCACAAGTGGTGCTGCTACTATAGTCCCTGACTCAGTCTGTGGACCCGCAAGTCAAATTTACAGATTAAAGCTACGGCACAATACCAATTTGCCTTGCTTCATTTTTGTTATGATCAAAATTAATTTCTGTCAATCTCTGGATGCTGTTTGGACAAACAAAATACTGTAATCGAAGCTGGGGAAGCTATCTGTGCGTAGTGCATTGTTAAATGAGCTATATTTTTCTCATGTCAATTGAGGTTTATAATCTCAACATGAGGAATAGGGTGAGAGAAGATTTCCCAAATAAGTTTAAGTTTAGGACTAACGAGATCGAAAACCATGTTTTGGAGTAGGCTCAGCCTTTACAGTCCCAATCTCTGGTAGATGCTTCCCATGAAACAAATTAAGACTTATCTTTTTGATGCCTTCTCGAACTACACATTTTAACAATCTAGTAGAGCCCCTTCTCTGCTCAGTGGAAACTATGATTCAAATGGAGAAAGTTGGATTTTGCACTTTGACTAGTGGAGCACAAAGATCAAGTGAATCCCTTTAGGGCTGAAAGATCTTGGAAATTATATTTGATATGAGTGGTTGTTATTGCGATATTTTTGTCTTTCAATGCAAATAGTAATTTTAGTTGAAACGCAGGAGACAAATGACAAAGAAAGCACACCATTAATTTTTTGGTATATTTTTTAAATATATCGTGCAGCCCTAAATTCCTTCCATACTTCCCTAGTTTTTAATGATTTAAAAGTATTCTATTAAAAGCACATTGTCATGTGTCTAGATTTTTTTTTAAAGTGTATTAGATTACTTAAGTGCTATTAAATAGTTGCACTGAATTGTACATCAAAATGTATGTTTAAACCCATGGCAACCATTTGGCTTTAATCTCATTGTGATTTAAATTTTTTTGTAGGAACACGACGAGCCCATACTAAAACATTTACAAGATATCAAAGTGAAATTTTCGGATCCAGGACAGCCTATGGTAAGACTAACCGTTGCCACTTCAGGACTGTTAAGTTGTAAGATTCCCGTTTGTCTGTGCAGAGCTTTACCTTAGAGTTCCTGTTCGAGCCCAACGACTTCTTCTCAAACACTGTCCTCACAAAAACGTACAAGATGAGGTCTGAGCCAGACGACAGTGACCCCTTCTCCTTCGACGGCCCGGAGATAATGAGCTGCACGGGGTGAGTGCCTCAGCCTAGCTAGCACATAAAGGCTTCAGTCTGGGGGTTGTGTGGCTCCCTTGGTGGTTTCAAAACCGCATCAAGAAACTTTCTTGATCTCACTATGGTGCAATTTTAAAAGTCACATTTGGCAAGGAGGGAGGTTTTGGACATGAGGGTGCTTGTCAAACTCCCAGGGGGCAGCCCAGTGCGGCGCTGGCCCTCCTGACCAGCTTGTTCAGTCAGAATCATTTTTATTGCCATGCAAGTCAGTATTTTTCAACTTTTGAGCAAAGGCATACTTTTTCATTGAGAAAATCTTGCCGCACATCACAAAATGTAAAAATATATACTCTGTAGCCTGTACTTGTAAGTACAAGTTCTCAGTGCTTAAAGGCCTTGACATTAAGCTTGGTTTAATTATCAATACAAAGAGTTACCGAGAGTTTGGGATTAAAGAGGCACTTGCTGTGTGGAAAAAAACATAAAAAAATACACGAGTCAAATAATGACTCGGAGGGCTCTTATGTGTGAAAAATAATTATTTAAAACATGGCCTGTGTGTTCTGTTTGATTTGTTCACAACCTTTTACTTTTGTGCACAAATGACATGCATTTTTGATGCATAGTGAAAATTTGGGCTTTAAATTCAGGAGTTTAAGTTGCCCTTCGGCAAGAGACATGGGAGAGGAGAGTCTGTGGCTCTGTCGGCGAGTTGCACAAAGTTACGGATGTGCGTTCACTGAGCTGTGGTCAATGCGGCTGTCAGTACAAAGCAGCCACAGCTGCCCCGGGGTCAGAGCGGAGGATGTGACTTTCCTGTAGGCGGACTCATCATTGTCAGAGATGAGTCCAATGATAGTGGTATTATCCGCAAACTTGATGAGCTTCATGACGTTGTGAATGGAGGTTCAGTGCTTGGTGTAGTCTGTTCCTGTCCCGCTCTGTACTGCCTGGGGCCCAGCACGGGGCAGTGTCTACCTTGCACTTTGTCCAAATCCAGAGATGTTCATAAGACCTCTCCACCTGTAACGGGCAAAGTTTACCTGTGCCAACTTATGTAGTCTTCATGAGGGCTGTAGATAATTTTCCAGTCTGTTGGTCTGTCTCTCCTCTGCCTCTTCAGTCCACACTGTTTCCAGACCAGACTTCTTCTGTGCATGTAGAGAGGTTGGTTGAGAGGGAGATGCGGTTAAAGTCGCCGCTGATCAGGATGAGGGCGCACGAGTTACAGATCTGGGTCACGGTGCTGTGGATGCGTTCACAAGGGGCAGCCGAGGGAGGGATGGATGTACAGACATAAAACCACGGTGTGCGAGACCTCCTGCAATAAATAACTGGGGCTCATACTCTGAACGAATCATAACCCGGGACTTGGAGCTGATCGTTCAGTCACGTAGACGTGAGCTGGATTGCACCAGTCCTCGTTCACGTATACATGGACTGCCCCGCCCTTCTTTCTGCTCTCCACCACTCATGTTTAAATCTGTCCGGAGACCACAGCGTCTGGTACACGACCAGGAGAGCAGAGTCTTGCAGAAGAAAATGAGTCTGCGCTATTGATATTCCCTTTGGCGGGCCAGCGCGGCCAGCTCCTCAGTCTTATTATACATGTACCGGATGTTTCCCATAACAGAAGGGAGGTACTGTCTTCTCTGCCTGTGGCCACCTTTGCTGCCTGTGCGACTCTCTGCTTTCCTGCAGTCTGACGCCGGTGATCCCGGTCTTTAATTTTGAGGAGCTGCTCCCCTGTGTAGACAATGGGATCATGTGTGCCACTACATGTCCCTTGGCGATGATAAATCTATAAAAAGTACCAAAAACATAAGTCCAGGGACTTTTTGCACAAAAGCACAATGTTTCGCCTACTAAAATTACAAAACTCATCTGTAACAAATGAGAAAAGGTAAGAAAGAGGGAAGAGCCAAAGTGACCAGCTGCACAGCATTGGCCGGCACCGAAAATAAGTTTGTACAACTTTTTGGCTGCTTCATGCTATAACAATTGTATGTCAATATTTTACAAAAGCTGCTAGACGCAAACCATAGTTGCAGGGGAAAAAATGCTCCCCTCCACCACAACAGGAATGTGCTCTCACATAAACATTAAGTCTATACTAAATATAATACAGGAAAGCATTGTCATGCTTTTCTCATGGTATATATGCTTTCCCTTTCTAGTTGTACGATTGAGTGGACGAAGGGTAAAAATGTCACATTGAAAACTATAAAGAAGAAACAGAAGCACAAGGGCCGCGGCACAGTGCGGACTGTCACCAAAACTGTGCCAAACGACTCCTTTTTTAACTTCTTCACTCCTCCAGAGGGTATGCACACTTTCAGTATCCCAGTTTTTAGGTTGGGCTCTTGATGTTAAACTAAGTGTCTGTTTAATTTCAGTCCCAGAAAACGTAGAGCTGGTAAGTCTTTTTTTGTAAACATTATGAAGCCTCTTGCCACTTTAAATGCTGCTGCTTGCATGGGTTTCAAACTTCACCAAATCAGAATGCTTATGAGGAGGCAATGATGTTGGTTCAGCAGTGATGGCAATGCTAGTTCATTAGAAGTGCACAGAAACATGCTGTGAGATACAGGATCAAATATGTAGTTTTAGAAATATTGCCTTGTCCTAATGTATAAGCACAGTAATGTTTTTGGCTTTATCATAGCTATATAATTCAAAATACAAATGGTGCAGGGGAAAATTTAATCTACTGCATAAATGTATACATTTTTGGCATGTTATTTATCTATTGCTTCAAAACACAGTCACTGAGTTTTCACCTGCATGTGGACACAAACCTTTAGATGGCTTATCAGACAAAAGTGAGAAGGACTGTACTAATGTGCGTGTGGTCCAGGACGAGGACTCGGAGGCCATCCTGGCTGCAGACTTTGAGATCGGTCACTTCATCCGAGAGAGGATTGTGCCACGAGCAGTGCTGTACTTCACCGGCGAGGCCATTGAGGACGACGATGATGACGTGAGTAAATCACATTATCTTCACTGAAAATGCTGAGCTTTTCTGGAACCATGAAGATGGGACAATAATTCAATTGAAATACATTTACATACATTTCGACAATCTGCTGCCGATCAAGTATCCAATCGTTCCATTAAAGTCTTTTAGTGTTTCAAGTGAAGGTTGAGCAATAGAATCTACCTTTGTTTGTATGTGTTTGCATAAAGTCTCAATTTAAGTTTCCTCAAAACTAAGTTTATGCAACTATACTCGTACCATCAATTAAATTTTGGCACTTTTGGAATGATTTGACCTGTGGCCTCTTTGGGTGTAAATGCATGGTGATCCTATCCATGCCAGATGTGACATGTAAATTCCTCCTGTGTGAGATCAATATCTTACACTATACTACTTACTTACTTACGATACAATTTTAAAATTTCAAGTCGCAGAAATGGTTTTAGAATCTTTGCTTTGACTAATTCCATTCAGAATGATACAGCTCCTTCACAACTATTTGTCCCATATTTAAAACATGTACACAATGAGCAGGAAACTATTGTCCTTGTGTAGAATGTAAGCTTGACTATTCAGTTAAATCATGTTTCGTTGTGGTATGAACACGTTTTTTTATATTCAGAATTGACTCTAGCCCCGTTTAGACCGAGACACTGCAAAGCAATTGGCAAATATGACCAGGCTCCTGCGAAGTACACAGCGTCTACACCGTGACGGAAAACGATAGTTCTAGAGCCCGGCCAGTAGTGGGCAGTGGAACGTTATAATGTAACACGCGTGGCCCCAGCGGTATAAGCACTTCAACATCCTTGGGCCACGGCAGTGACTTAAAAGAAAGCATCAACATCATTCTGCATCAACAGTGGCTGCTAAAGTGGTTACAAACTGGAGCTTTGCATGGTTTCGTTTGAACAAACTGAGTATTGTGTTGCGCTCGACGCGTGCGTAGATCACGTTAATCCGCCGCTATTTAAGTTCTCGGCTACTGCGGGAGTCCAAATCTACATGCAGGGAAGTGATGTCACAACTGGCAGGAAATTCGCACCTTTTTCTTCAAGGCCTCCGGCCGCACAGTGGATCTGTTCTGTTCCACTCTTGAGGCTGTTTCTCAACGCTTGCGTTTTTACCCCCCTGAAACTGTCTTCATGTAAACGGAAGGCCAAATTGATACCAAACTTGACAGTTTTACTGTTGCAGCGTCTCCTTATAAAACTGACTAATTGAAGCCTCTTAAATCTGCAAATATAAAGCTTTGTTTGTTTTTCACAGTACGATGAGGAGGGGGAGGAGGCAGATGACGAGGTGAGAAAATAATTCAGTTTTCAACTAAATACGGATTCAATTAAGCATGAACTTGTATTGAAATGCTCAATGATTGTCATCACTTGTGATAGCAAAGTGCAAAAGAGTTGAAAGCCTTGTTTGTCCAGGAGGGAGAGGAGGAGGCAGATGAAGAGAACGACCCAGACTACGTGCCCAAGGTTTGTCTCTAGTCCATCCTTTAACTCAGCCGTTCCCAAAGTCAAGAACACCGCGGCCCCCTTAAAAATCTGACAGGTCTGCGGCCCCCCTGAAATGATTACCAAGACAACGTTATAAATAGGCTTAATATTTTATTTGGGAGAATAGCCTCTGCTACAAACATGTAAATGACGCACCCCATTCTGTAATACCAAAATTATTACAATTTGATTGTTTCAGTCAAATAATGAGCACAAAAATTAATAATTTGTTTTTAATATTAAAATATAACATACAACTATATCAAACTTATTATTATTTATTTTGGTGACCTCTCGCCACCCCCCTGCAATACCCTCACAGCCCACCAGGGGGCTATGGACCCCACTTTGGGAGACCCTGCTCTAACTAAACTGCTATCCTGCCCTTATTCACGTGGCAAAGCAAACATTGATATATTTTGAGTATTAAAAAGTCAATAGTGCAAACTTTAAGGAGCTATACCAGTTTCTGCAAGGTTTTTTTTTTTTTGTTTGAATGTGAAACACTGCCCCCAACTTGCTCACAGGCTTCTCATTTTTCCTATGCTCTTCTCCCACGAAGCCATCTACTTTTATTTGCGATCTGATACTAAAACATTATCATTAGCGCAACTTCTTGTAAGCTGTAAAATTATCACTGATGGAATGGTTCAGAAGCAACGCATTAACAAAGTATAACTGAAAGATTACTGCTAGTTTTGTGTCCAAATGTAGTCTGAGGCGGTCGGCTCCCGCAGGTCTCGCAAGGACACAATGTTAGCTAACGCTTCGTATATTCACCCGGGCTTGATTTCTTCTTTGATCCTTTTTTTGCTTTATTTCCCCCTTCTCTTCCTCACTGTTTTGCTGTGTACGCAGTTGCAGGAGTTGTAGCCACTTTCTGCTAAAATGCCGCTGTTTACTTGCGCAGTAGACGCTAGAGGCCGCCTGTTCGATCACAGAACTAGGAGCAGCGCTGTTATGGAGAGCTGGCATAAAGTTTCCACTCCGCACTTGTATAAAAATCCGTAATTTAATAGAAAACTTGATCTCATTGATTCAACTTCTATGTAGTAATACGCATTTTTAACTCATTTAAAATAAATCGGGTATAGCTTCTTTAATTAATTGCCGACCAGTTTAATTTGATGAATACATCTCATTGAAAGACCTAAGGCCGTTTAAGACACATGTTAATCACTTTACTGTCTATATATGACACTTATCACAGTTTATCACACATCCATCCATTTGTGGTCACGAGCAGCAATGGTCAACTGGGTTTTGCCTCAGGACTACTACAAAACCTTAGGACAATGTTTCAAAGTCTGCAGCTGTAGTAATCTACTAAGGAGAATGGCTCTTACAGATAATCTACTTTTTATCAGGGGTCATGAGGTGTGGCTCCTGAAGAGCCCAGGCTCGACATACAGAACGTTGATCTCCTGCTATTGCTCCTGATGTTGGGCTTTAAGTCTTTCACATTTCACCTCTGATTAGTACCTCCCACTTCCAGGCCTTTCTAGATCCCCATCCTTATCCCTGTCTTTTCCACTAATTTTACACTGGCCTTTTCTTATTCTGTACTCTAAAAGTAAACCACACTTATAACCTCCTTTGGATGCGTTTTACTTAAGGTAAATATTGGACATTTTTTTAAATAAAAAGGGGCCAAGCACAGAATGTGGTTTGGTTAGAGGGTATGAAACGTGGCTTGTTACATCAAACATAAAGTCCGTTGTTCCTTTTGAAGTTTGGTTGTGCTATATTTGTTTTTTAATTTTAGAATTGTCTTATCCAAACATGAAACTCATTGATCGTTATGGCTGCTTATTATACGGCTCCTCACAGCAGCAGGAGAACGCTCCATTGATTTGAATGTCATTTCAAAACGTTCTACCGGTCATTATTTTCTATAACGGACCTCTCAAAACAATAATGACCGCTGCCCTTTGGCAACGCACTCTCTGCTTGTCTTTCAAATGCGTGGATAACTCCGCAAGTAGTTCCGGCCACTCCTGAGCTAGCCACGCTCAATCAACACACTTAAATGTTAATCGGAGAATACTTTATACATACACATTCTTCACACACGTGCACGGAAATTCAGAATTTTCTGGTCTTGTCTTCATCACAAAAATACTATTTCTCTGCGTCAAAAAGCGATCGTGAAAAACCCGGAAGTAGTTCTGGCCGCTCAATAAACGCAAATGCCAATCAGTCAACGCAATGAAATGTTAATCGGAGAGTAATTTATACATATCCAGTCTTAATACAAGTGCACGGAAGTTTTCCGAATATCCGTTTACGTTTTCATGACAAAAACACTGATGTAATGCGAGAAGAGGCGATCCCGAAAAACCCGGAAGTAGATACGGCACATTTTAAGATACGGCACATTTTAGGACACATTTGCAGAGGATCGAATTATGGATTTAAGTTAGGTTAATGTATGGGTCACTCACCGCTGATGTTCAGAATACTTTGTTCAGTTTTCATGCAGTTCCAGGGAGTTCTAGTTTGGAAGTTGCTAGCCTAACTGTTGCTAGCATAGCCACAATTGTCAAAGCCACACTGCCTGCCCGCGGTTGCCGAGCAACGGGAAAACTTTTTGGGATTACTTTATTTGTTGTCATTAAATAAACTTTTGGCATTCATAAAAGTGATCTGAAGTTTATTTTGTGTTTTAAGTTGGTACAAAGCAGTATAATAAGCGGGATAATGTATAGCATACAGGTCATTATCGGAAAATAAGTACCTTCAGGGCGAAGCGGACCCCTCTGCTGCGCGTCGGGGTCCGCTTCGCCCTGTCGGTACTTATTTTCCGATAATGACCTGTATGCTATACATTATCCCTTACTTATAACTCATTCATAGACCACTGTAATTTGCGTTATACCTAGACTATATTATACTAAAGTTGGGCAGTGTGGTAAGAATCATTTTAAGGCCAAGAGGCTGTGATCGTATGGATTGAGATCATATGTTAAATAATCAATCACAATAACTACTCTGTAGTCCGCTCTCCCCAGAGTTACATTCGGCTGTGTATCTGGCAACCTGAGTGACACTGCTGCTTCAAATGGCAATGGGCTCAATGCACCCACCACTTCTGTGTTTTAGTTATAACGACATTCAACCTCCGGTGCGCGAGGATTGGCTTGAGTTTGACTGTGGCTAAGATTGAGTTAACCAGATGTTGACACAAGTTTCCTAAATGATGCTCTAACAGGAACTTTACTGAGGCTGGCGCCTCGTGGAGTAGTCCCCATTGTATGTGTAGCACTAGCTATTTTCAGTGATCTGTCGGTGCGCTCGAGCCCGGAAGGTTTTTTTTCCACCTGGACTATTTAAGTGGATAGTTGCGGTTCCGTGTTTGTGGTTCAAACATGAGTGAATAATAGTTTAGATGTGGGTATTGACTTGTTTGGCGCCATCAGCCGCCTGAGTCTTTGAGCTTCATTCATTAACTCTGAATCTGAATCTAACAGTTGACTCTTCCGTGCCGCTGTTCTGTCGATTATCTCCCTCAGCTGTTAATGATGTAATGCAAACCTGCACTGTGCGTCTCAGGCAGCCAAAGCAATCCAAGATGGCGGACATGTAGTCCGCCAATTGCTTTAAAAGTTAAAATAACTTTTAATAATAAAATTAAGACACGGTTTTAAGAGTTTTGTGTAAAGTTTGTTTTAAGCAGTCCACTTATCCTGTGAAACTACACTGCTGTAACCCAAATCTGACTTGCGCATGTGCAGAAACCCGCCAGAATGGGGAAAAAACTAGATCTAATTAAATATTTCTTTTGAACACACTATTGTTAATTATATTGATTACAGTATGATACATTTATTTCCATTTTCAACCCGACAGACCAGTCACAGGACGCGTCATGGGCCTGACGTACTCAACTCAGGGACTCACAGGATCAGTGGACTGCTTAAAACAAACTTTACACAAAACTTACTCTAAAAACACACACTTCACAACACGGAACCATCAACATCTCGCCTCAAATTGCATTAAAAGTGAAATTTGTGTCTTAATTTGTTTCGTATTTTAACTTTAACTGGATTATAAGGTGCATTGTTAAAATTGGTTATCTGCGAAAAATATGGTACTCTCCCTTTGGGGGTGGTGCATGTTATAGGAACTGGACTGGACCATGCTTAACTCTTGTTACCCTTGGTTCAAAATGTCCCACCAGATGAATAATAGAACAAAAATACAATTGGTGTCTAAAAAGGTCCAAATGACGAGTTTGAAAAGATCAAAATTTGACTCAAAATTATTTTTTCTTAATCACCGACTGGTCAAACTGACCCAAGGATGGTACTAGGTGCTGGACTCCACCGGCCGCGTCTGTTCACGCGCATAGGCTTTTTTCCAGGCTTTTTTGAAAGGGTCAATATTGACTTATGATCAGGAGACATTTCAATTTAATACATGAAAAGAAATTACTCATTTGTTAATCAGTCATCAAACCTTTTTTCATTTTGCATTTCCAATGGGAAACGGACCATACGCACGTTGATGTATGAGAAAAATGGGGTCTGTTGCACCCTGCGGGACTCCCTACGAGAGTCATACGGACGCATGTCCGTGGTAAGTTTTACGCAGCCGGTGGAGTCGGGGCCTAAAGCTTAGCGTACATGGGACTGGCAGCTGATTATATCCGTCGCATATGAGCCCCGCACACATCGACAATCTGACGGAAAAAGGGGAACCCCGGCATCAGACCAGTCTGGGGAATAACAGCGCGTACATCGACAGCAACTGGCCTCAACTACAGTGTGTTTTCTGACATAAACTGTTGCGGGCGCAATACACACACGTTGTCGGAGCGGCGCATGGAGCGCGCACATCGGGTCATATCTCCGAAACTGAGGACAATTAGTTGCCGAAAAGTAGAACACGGGCAACTGACTGAAACTGGAGACCGACTGATCATCTCCATCGTCTCCTCTCAGTCGCCAAAAGCCGCCTTGCAACTAGTTGTCTCCAGTTTCTGTCGATGTGCACTAGGCTTAAGGGTTGAAGACCCGCAATTGAAAAGGTTTGGTGCCAACTTTTGGATGAGACGAGTGCAGTTAAAGCTAGCGTTCAGTTAAAATCCATAGCAGCACAAAAGGGCAACAGCTAAAGCGGGATGACCGAACATTAATTTGACCCACCTTTATAGTATGTGCTTTTTGGGGCTTTCATTTTTTTATTGGAGCTTTACAGCCAGCGTTGGTGATGCCGACAACTTCTAGATTTCCATTTCTACATAATTCAGACTGAGTAAGCAGGTTTAGGGTAGGTTTAAACACAGCTGGGCTGTACATCAAATTAATCGACCTTTTCATAAAGATGTGAGAAATGTCATTTGTGAAATTGAGGTTTCTTTAGGCCCGACTTGCGATACAATGGCCCCAAGAGGCGATAATTTGCCTTTTAAAAAAAGACACAATTCTCATTGGCAATTGTTGGAAATTTGATGGCGCAGATTTTAAGTTTGGAGACTGGACGATTACGATTTTAACCAATCAATTTAATTGGACTCTTTGAACTTTTTGCTTTATCCTTGATCGTTCCTCTTGATCTCTCCTCACCAGGTTTAAGTGGGTGACGTACTAACCCTGTCCTGGTAGGTATCTCCTTACCCCCCCACCCCCCTCACTGGGCTGCTAACACTGGCACTTGAAAAACATAACTACACCTTATTTAGGCTTAATAAATGTTGAAATAACACTTAATTATGAACAATTCATTAATTGTGACAAACACTTCAGCATTTATTAACTGTAGTAGTTTAGTTATTCACTCATAATCAATACATCTTAAAGTTCTTCACTCGTTCATTGTTTAATAATGTAGTAATAATGAAGTAACCATTTGTTACAAGATTAAACCACATGTTAATGATTAATAATTGTATACATGACCTAATAAATCCTGCACTGCAGTATAAGTTCAGTTACTAACAGTTACTTGGAGTATTTGTGAGAAGACAAGGATGACTAAACATGACTAACTCAACATAAACTTAACTATTCCTCAAACTTATATTTTCCTGCAATGTCATGGAACAATGGCCTCAGCCACTCATTACATTCAATGACTGCAAGGTGTTCAACAAGCAAATCGTTTGTCCGATTTCCCTCAACGTGCGGCGTGCTGGGGGGCGTGTGCTGGAGGGCGTGTGCTGGAGGGCGTGTGCTGGAGGGCGTGTGCTGGAGGGCGTGTGCTGGAGGGCGTGTGCTGGAGGGCGTGTGCTGGAGGGCGTGTGCTGGAGGGCGTGTGCTGGAGGGCGTGTGCTGGAGGGCGTGTGCTGGAGGGCGTGTGCTGGAGGGCGTGTGCTGGAGGGCGTGTGCTGGAGGGCGTGTGCTGGGGGCGTGTGCTGGAGGGCGTGTGCTGGAGGGCGTGTGCTGGAGGGCGTGTGCTGGAGGGCGTGTGCTGGGAGGGCGTGTGCTGGAGGGCGTGTGCTGGAGGGCGTGTGCTGGGGGCGGTGGCTGGAGGGCGTGTGCTGGAGGGCGTGTGGGGCTGGGGGCGTGTGCTGGGGGCGTGTGCTGGAGGGCGTGTGCTGGAGGGCGTGTGCTGGAGGGCGTGTGCTGGAGGGCGTGTGCTGGAGGGGGGGGTGCTGGGGGGCGTGTGCTGGGGGGCGTGTGCTGGGGGGCGTGTGCTGGGGGGCGTGTGCTGGGGGGCGGTGCTGGGGGCGTGTGCTGGGGGGGCGCGTGCTGGGGGGCGCTGTGCTGGAGGGGCGTGTGCGGCGCGGTAGAGGCAGTGGGTACATACTCATGCGGCAAAAGCAAGAGACACTTTTTCCTTTGGAAACGTGTGCGGCTAACGAAGAGCCGGACTGAGAGCCACAGGGACAAGGGCGCAGCCAGAGACACTGAAAACACTCGAACGGCCAAAACAAACCTAAACCAGGATTAAACCAGGACTGTCGATGGGGCACACTTCACTTGTGAACATTTGCCTCCAGCCTGAGTTCTCATTCTCCTGTGGATAAATGTGCTGCTTACGTGCGTTAGCCGAAATGACAAATGTATTTAAGGTTTTAAAAAAGCGATCGATAATTATCGCCCCAATGAATCACTTATGGCTGAAAACACAATATATCACAAAGCCCTAGTATATGCCACATGTGCATCTGTTCGAAGATGCTGCTCTTCGTGTTTACATGTGTATTTGATTCATGGGGCCAATTTGAAGGACTTTTATTTTTTTTATGGGCCTGTTATAGCTTTGTAAAGCAATGTAAAAGATAAATATATATACTGTGTTCATGTCTCACGGCTTATTGTTATACAAAAACGTTAGTCATCCTTGTGTTTTCTCACAAACTCTAAGTAGCAGTAACTAAGTCACACACTGCAGTATTAATGACTTTTACACATTTAAAGACCCTTTATTTCACTTAAAGTGTAAATAGTGTGATTTACAAAAGCACAAACTCAACTGTTAATAACTGACTAAATCTTGCACTGCACTAGTTTATAATCATGTATACAATTATTAATCATTAACATGTCGTGTAACAAATGTATGGTTAAAAATGGTTAATTCATAATTATTTAATAATTAACAAGTGAAGCACTTGATGTACTCATGAGTTAAGCATTTATTAACTGTAGTTGAGTGTTGGTCACACTTAAATGTTGAAATAACACTTCATTCATGAACAATTCATTAATTAAGCATAAATAAGGTGTAGTTAAGCGTCTCCAAAACATCCACTTGAGTCTGAGGTTGCGCAGTGAGGAATGAGTTTAACAGTTACTTCCTGTAGCCATTTAAGTGTTTTACCTTTCTTCTATAAGTTGTAGTTACTCTGCATTATCACTTTGTTCCAAGTCTGAAGCATGGGCTTTTGCCTTTGTAAGCTCTATCACGTGGCTTGAGCTCAGTCCCACAGGACGACCTCTGAAGGAAAGATCTTGGTCATTTGTATCTGACCGTAGTTATGTGAATAATAAACTAAATAAGGTCTAAAGGAGTCTGACATTTTCTAACTTTACTGGCCCTGGATCATTTAAAGTTCAGCTTTAAGAATTATTTGGTATTTTTTTAGTCACTGGCTGGTCAACTTAAACCATTATGCTATACTCTTATCTCTGCTGATGTGGCAGTTCAAGATTCTCTAATAGCAAAGAATCAAGTCCTTGCACAAGTTTGCTTTGGTTCCAGTGTTGGCAGAGCCCCCCCCCCCCCCCCTTATTTGGCTGTTCCGCTAACCTGTCACTAACCCACTGGTTTATGTGAGTGGCGTTCTGGACTAAACCTTTTGCGTTGGAACAATGTCAGTTTCTGGACTTTGATTATCGATGTTTTGTGACGTCTGTGATTGTCTTTTCTGTTTTTGTGTTTTGATCATGCCACCTGAATATGGTTATAACGGGAGATTATGGGCCAATCATTTAATTTTTAAAAGCTTTCCCTTGGCTGACTAAAACGAGACTTTTCTTCCCCAAAGTTCACATTCCTGATTCTGATGTGATAAAACGGAACAGAGCAGCATGCACTGTGTATCACTTCTTTGAACACATTTAGTACAAACTGCTCAGGAAATATTTGGTAATTTATTTTAAATATTTCGATAAGGTGACCCTTTGTCAGATATCTACCAAAACCTTTTTTTTTTTTTTTTTTCAAATGTATTTTATATAGTGGTGTATACCATTAAAAGACTCTGACTTGTAGAGTCTTTGCCATCAACTTAATACCTTGCATGGAAATAAATGTATAAATCCCAGCTCGTGGCCTGAAAGGTATCTGAACCCTTTGGCATTTCTCACATTTCTGCATAAAACCAGATTAGAAAAGTGTCATATCCTTTAACTATGATTTTAAAAAGATCAGAAGTTGTCAGGTTATTCCTCCCCTTCTGTTAATGGGGACTTTGACTTATTTGTAAAATGAAAGGTGCTATTTAGACCCAACAGTAAAATTATTGTGTGAACGAAAGGCCACGCCGATAGCCAACTGAGGGAGTTTTAAGGGGTCTCCAGAGTGGAATGGATACGCTGCAAGGCAGGGGCCCGTTTCACAGCCGACAAACGTGTCGACTCTGGCTGTGATAACCCCCCCTCATACATTTGGACATGGGCAGTAGCAAAGTAAAGTCTGTGGTGGTGGATCGACGGTTTTGTGTGCTTCGTGTGTTACATGGAGCACTACTCCTCTGTCCGTCCAAACAAAACCATGCAAACCATTTTTGCTGCCACTCTTAAATGTAGAATGATTGGTGCGTCCTGCTGCGGTGGGATGAGGATGTTTGAAGTGGTTACTGTTTATCGCTGGGGACGCTGTAAAGTTCCACTGCTCACTACTGGTCTGGAGCTAGAAGGGACAATGAGTGGACTCTTACATGTAGACTTTGTGATTCAAACACCCAGGGACATGCAACTTCTACCGGCCGTTCTTTTAGTCTCATTCCCAGAAAAAGTAATTTAGAAATTTCCAGGGACTGCCTCTCCAACTTATTAAATACTAAGTAATTTAAACTAACCTGCAGCAATCCCACACTGGCAGTGAAAGTAAATGCTTCAGTCCATACTCCATTGAATCTCAGTGGCGCTTTGGCCCATGTCAGTTTCAAATCTATGACAAATGTTCAATACGAACATTTATGTACTAACCCTAAACATAAACTAAGTTCATGACGAGGCTTGGGGCACTAAGAGGGGCTGCCTGTTGCTATGGACTCTAGTGCATGAGTTACCAACTCTTTGCTATGGAGCATTTTATACTTAGCTGCTTTAAAAATAGAATTACTTTTACCATACTTAAGCTAAAGATAAATCAGTTATACTACACTTAATATCTTGTACTGTTCTGTAATTTGTGATGCAACACTGAAATTTCCCCATTGTGGCTAAGCCCCGGCAATCCAAGATGGCGCCCTATTCAAATGAATGGTTGTGCTCAGTGGCGCTTTGTGACGGCATGGGGGCTGAAAAGATTAGCGGAAGTTGCCTGAAACTCTCAAAGGTCTATGAGAAACTCTCAAAGATCTATGGGAAACTCTCAAAGGTCTATGGGAAACTCTCAAAGGTCTATGGGAAACTCTCAAAGGTCTATGGGAAACTCTCAAAGGTCTATGGGAAACTCTCAAAGATCTATGGGAAACTCTCAAAGATCTATGGAAACTCTCAAAGATCTATGGGAAACTCTCAAAGATCTATGGGAAACTCTCAAAGATCTATGGGAAACTCTCAAAGATCTATGGGAAACTCTCAAAGATCTATGGGAAACTCTCAAAGATCTATGGGAAACTCTCAAAGATCTATGGAAACTCTCAAAGATCTATGGAAACTCTCATAGATCTATGGGAAACTCTCATAGATCTATGGGAAACTCTCAAAGATCTATGGGAAACTCGCAAAGGTCTATGGGAAACTCTCAAAGGTCTATGGGAAACTCTCAAAGATCTATGGGAAACTCGCAAAGGTCTATGGGAAACTCTCAAAGGTCTATGGGAAACTCTCACAGATCTATGGGAAACTCTCAAAGATCTATGGGAAACTCGCAAAGGTCTATGGGAAACTCTCAAAGATCTATGGGAAACTCGCAAAGGTCTATGGGAAACTCTCAAAGGTCTATGGGAAACTCTCACAGATCTATGGGAAACTGGCCTGTATTTGGGCATCGTCTGGTCCTCCTGGTTCTGAGCAGTGGATGATCTCCCATAATGCATTGCCCCAAACACGTGTGTGTGGGTCTCATACCGGGTCTCACGCACGTGCACAGAGGGTCTCACGCACGTGCACAGAGGGTCTCACGCACGTGCACAGAGGGTCTCACGCACGTGCACAGAGGGGCTCGGCTCTGACCAATCAGAGCAGTTCATCAGAGCGGGAGTTAGAGCCAGAGCCAGACGAGCAGAGTTTGTGGCACTAAAGTGTGGATCTAAACAAAACCGAAGGATTTAAGAAGAAAAGTTCAGGATGACAAGGGACACTAAAATCCCCACAAAATCCGATCTTTATTAAAGCTGTAGGTTCTCTGTCAGCTGAGGTCGAGCTGTTTTAATATGCATTGAGTCCCATTTCTGGGTAGCCCACGTGAATTTAGTCTGGTTCAGTCTGCAGTACAGAGAGAATCCCCCGAGCACATGAGTTATTCAGCTACAAGCTGTAATACCCTATCCAGTTATTATAATAGATCCATGATTGTGGCACAAAGGACCTATTCCTTAAACATTTTTCAGTTTCCATCGATGTGTTTAGATTTCTCAGATCATAATTTGATGTAGACTTGTGAGAAATTCCAAAGGCTTCCTGTACTTGCAGCAGTCTCTCCCGTTCCTCTGGGCTGTGTGTGTTTGAAGTCTGCAACATTGTGTAACTGTCACTCTTTGTTCGCAGAAGGATGCTCCCCCGGCTGAGTGCAAGCAGCAGTGAAGAGCCTCAGGATCTACTGCTTCAATGAAAACTACTTAATAGTTACTTAAGCCTTATAATGTTTTGTATTTTTCTTGGTAGAGAATTTGAAGTCAAGATTTCAAAGTTTTTTGTTATGAAATCTTATGGTAACATACTGGGAGCACTGGCTCATATATAGTATTTTATTAGATTTGTTCCCCTCTTCTGAACTCAAGAGAAATGCACTGCAAAAAATATTTACATCTGCAGCAGATGACAGGATCTTGTTGGATCTTTTTTTTTTCAATTGAACGAGGATTCCTTTGAAATGAAGATGAGAGAAGCAGTGATATTGAGCGTAATGTTCCACTGTTTGGACTTTGTCTTTAATGAGTTTGTTTTGACAAACTTTAAAATGCGTTTTTGTCTGGTACATTGAAGCGGATCAGGAGCATGTCATAAATCATTCCTGGATTATTTGACCTGTAAATATGTAGTTTAGATTCACTTTGGTCGGTTACTAGAATGTTGGGGTGATTTTAAATTGGTAGATGTGATGTTTTTGCAGTGCAGGGGCAAAAGCATGACCTATCCCTGCTAAAACATTTTTTTTTTTTTTGCATCTTAGTCCACAGCTGTAAATTTGAAACTTTTCCAAATGACACGCATTCCCAAGTCCAGACAAAGCATTGTTCGCACACGCTCAAATTTCAGTTTGAAATTTGAGAAACGGTGAGCATTACTTGTAGCATTTCCATTCCATAGGGGGCTGTTCTTAATCCTTTTGGCTAAATTAATAATTCACTTTACCATCAGTGACAACTGGTAACTTGCAAAGTTTGAAAATTCTCAAGCAAACCAAAATTCAACTGCTTCAATTTGTATGACGAAATGTAAATTGTGACTAAATATACATTTGTGGGGAATAAAGATCAAAGCGTATTCTCATTTTTATTTCTTGCAGATTTTTCATTTTGAGTTGTCCTGTCAGCCTCTCGTTCTAAGTTGTACATTTTTGTCCCAATGGCAGAGCACACTTTGAACATTTGGTATCCAATATTTTGCACACTGGATTCTGGTCAGTTTTCTATGACTTGTTCATTTGTCCACTAGATGGCGCCATGACACTGCCGAAATCTCGTTTCTGCACGTAATGTAACGGCACTAAAATCTTAGTCTACAGAAGCACAACATTTGAGGCTTAAACTGTAGGTTTAGTTTCTACATTTGTAATCTCAAATACATTATTAAAGCAGTTTCAAATGTCATGGCTATGTTTTTGGTCAAAGTGTTTTGAACCTTGCCTCTAATTTACTAATGTAATTTGACGTTTTCTAAAACAATTTGAAGCAAAGTAAAAAATGATTGGAAAATGTTATGCCGAATCTGAAATCTTACGGCGATTTAAATGAGAAATGCAACACAAAGTTTACTTTATGAAAGTGCATTTCATTAAGTGGGTTTTCATTCTCAGTGAAGCCATGTGCTAATGAACATGTCCTGATTAAAACTTCACTGGTTGTTTTAAAGTTTGTTAATTGGTTGCAGTTCAGTTGGCCATCCAGTTTTCCTTGTACCTCGGTTTACTAGAGAAGTACCTCGACCCATTTCCCTGTGGACCTGCATCACTGTGAAAGGGAAAAGGAGCTCTGTTTGCTGCTCACAATTAGGTGTCGCCGGTTTGGAAATACATCCAACTTCCTCAGCGTAATTAATTGGGACATTGGTTTCCTGTTACTGCAGGCATGTTTGAGTCGTGTAGATTATATTCTACAATTAACTTTAAAAAATATCCCGTTATTTCAGCAGGGAGAGTTCTCTCCATGTGGCCCTGCGCACAGGTAAATGCTCTTCATGTAACCCATAACGGGCCCTGTAGCCTCTCCCTCCGCAGCTGCTGTTCAAGCTAAACACTTGTACTGTGTGTATTCATGAATAAACTCAACACATATTCCACGTATTGTCCTTCACGCTTTGTTACAGCTGGGGGTGGATTTAGGGAAAGCCTGTTCATTTGGAACATTCAAGCAGGTTCTTGAACTCATTCAGCAGTGCTTACATTAACAATTTAACATGTTACATTTGTCTCTTGTACGTTTCGAAATTGTAAGTTTTTTTTACATCAAAACAGTTGAGTATCCATGTGTGAAATACTTCGGTTATCGCAGTCCTTGAGTGGTATAGGTCCAACATTTCCAATAGTCCTACAATTTGTCACGATCCGTTCTTGGTGCGAATATCTCCATTTGAAAAATGTCTTTAATCAAATCTTTGTGTAGAGCACATTTAAAACAGCCAAAGTGCTGTACAGACAGTATAGAAAGACGTATTCCTTCATTTGTCTCACAATAGTTCAGTGTCATCGTTGCACACATTACAGTAGAGAAAGAGCGCTCAGACTATTTGTGTGCAATCTAAGATAATGGACAAGATAATTAAAGAATAAAATAAAACTAGCTATCATTGCTCTTGGTTCAGGAGTATTTACAGTGTATATTCTTAAGCAGCGGAGAATATGAGCAGAATAAACATCACTAATATCAACAAAGTGACTTGTGAATGACAAGTATCAGATATGTAACAAAGTGATTAGTGACAAAGTTACTTGTGCATTATTATCAATGACACTTTTACAGATTCTGCAGTTCTTGTTAAACGTTCTTGTTCAGCCCGAGAGCAGCAGGGAGGAAGGACCGGCAAACCTCACACAGCAAGGATGAATGATGGAGTAGCCTCTGGGTGGAGCAGGACGGGTCAGAGCAGCAGAGGTGGTGTAGCCTCTGGGTGGAGCAGGACAGGTAACAGCAGCAGAGGTGGAGTAGCCTCTGGGTGGAGCAGGACGGGTCAGAGCAGCAGAGGTGGTGTAGCCTCTGGGTGGAGCAGGACAGGTCACAGCAGCAGAGGTGGAGTAGCCTCTGGGTGGAGCAGGACAGGTCACAGCAGCAGAGGTGGTGTAGCCTCTGGGTGGAGCAGGACGGGTCACAGCAGCAGAGGTGGAGTAGTCTCTGGGTGGAGCAGGACAGGTCACAGCAGTAGAGGTGGTGTAGCCTCTGGGTGGAGCAGGACGGGTCACAGCAGCAGAGGTGGAGTAGCCTCTGGGTGGAGCAGGACGGGTCAGAGCAGCAGAGGTGGTGTAGCCTCTGGGTGGAGCAGGACGGGTCACAGCAGCAGAGGTGGTGTAGCCTCTGGGTGGAGCAGGACAGGTCACAGCAGCAGAGGTGGTGTAGCCTCTGGGTGGAGCAGGACAGGCCACAGCAGCAGAGGTGGTGTAGCCTCTGGGTGGAGCAGGACAGGTCACAGCAGCAGAGGTGGAGTAGCCTCTGGGTGGAGCAGGACTGGTCACAGCAGCAGAGGTGGTGTAGCCTCTGGGTGGAGCAGGACGGGTCACAGCAGCAGAGGTGGTGTAGCCTCTGGGTGGAGCAGGACAGGTCACAGCAGCAGAGGTGGAGTAGCCTCTGGGTGGAGCAGGACAGGTCACAGCAGCAGAGGTGGTGTAGCCTCTGGGTGGAGCAGGACGGGTCACAGCAGCAGAGGTGGAGTAGTCTCTGGGTGGAGCAGGACAGGTCACAGCAGCAGAGGTGGTGTAGCCTCTGGGTGGAGCAGGACGGGTCACAGCAGCAGAGGTGGAGTAGCCTCTGGGTGGAGCAGGACGGGTCAGAGCAGCAGAGGTGGTGTAGCCTCTGGGTGGAGCAGGACAGGTCACAGCAGCAGAGGTGGTGTAGCCTCTGGGTGGAGCAGGACGGGTCACAGCAGCAGAGGTGGTGTAGCCTCTGGGTGGAGCAGGACAGGCCACAGCAGCAGAGGTGGTGTAGCCTCTGGGTGGAGCAGCAGAGGTGGTGTAGCCTCTGGGTGGAGCAGGACGGGTCACAGCAGCAGAGGTGGTGTAGCCTCTGGGTGGATCAGGACAGGTCACAGCAGCAGAGGTGGAGTAGCCTCTGGGTGGAGCAGGACAGGTCACAGCAGCAGAAGTGGAGTAGCCTCTGGGTGGAGCAGGACAGGTCACAGCAGCAGAGGTGGTGTAGCCTCTGGGTGGAGCAGGACAGGTCACAGCAGCAGTGACTAAATATTTGAAGAAATGCTTACTGGGAATAGAAAACCTTTGACAAATTTGCTCAAAAGTAAGCATTTCTCCACCCAAATATAGACCAGTTGATTGTAGAGCTCTATCTGCCCTTCAGCCTCCGTCTCTTCCAGGCTGCGCTCGGTGGGATTTGATCCAACAGTGACTCAGCTGAACTCGGACCCAGCGCGGTGTTAAAACGCTCCTGACATTAACTTAGACAGGATGTGTGTGAATGTATTCATGTGTTTTTTATTGAGATTTTTAGCATGTAACTGGCAGCTCTCCGTGCTTTTTAGTTGCCCCTCGGGATAAATAAAGTGATGGATAGAGGCTTAAACATGGTGTTTATGGGAGAGCAGCGTGAGAGCGACATGTTTATGGGACCTGTACCAGATATCAGTTGTGTTCTTCAGAAATGGATTATTGGTCTGTTTTTAAGTACTTTAAAGTCAGCTGAGTATAAATAATGTTTAGCAAAAGGTTTGGTATTGATGCTATTTCAATGGTTACTCAAGCGGGTAGTGTTTGTGTTGAAAAATAATACAGTTGTGTACCCTCCAGTTTCATAGGGCATGTAAAGCAGCCTCAGTCTCAATCTGGCTTTCTTATTATTCCAAATAAAGTTCACAAGCATCCTGTTAAGTTTGGGAAAGAAGTTATTTGTTAATGAAAATGGTATAGTTTGAAATAAATATAATTTTTTGGAAAGATGCTCATTTTAATTATATTTATGCGACCCTCATTGAGATCCATCTGTCGAGTGACTGCTGAACTTCAGACATTAAAGGATCAAAATTAGCTTGAACTATATTTTTAATATCAGGGGAAACCCTGACACCCGAGTAAGTGAATCCTTCTTCCACATTTAAGAAAGTGTAACTGAGAGAGTGCACTGCAGGATTCAGTCTTTCCTCATTATTTAAGAATTCAATTGACGACTTAGAATCATTTATGACATAACCAGAGAATTGGCCAAATGTGTAAATTTGCTTTGTGTCAAATTTGGGAGACTTGTGGTTAGATTAGACAAAAAAATGATAACATCATCAGAGTGAGATCTTCTGCTCATGATCTCCAATGCGTCCAATCCTGACAAACCTCTGTCAGCACGGATTGACAGAGCCAGGGGTTCTATAGGTAAGATAAAAAGCATTGGAGAAAGGGGGCAGCCCTGGCGCGTGGATCTTTCCAGTATAATTGGTTTAGACTTTAGAGGAAATGTTGTTAGTAACAATACTGGCAGTAGGACTTGTTCACACGATTTTTATCCATTTGAGAAAGTTATTTCCAAATCCAAACCGAGGCTGGATATTGAATAAAAATGGCCGTTCAATTCTGTCAAAAGCTTGGCGAGCATCCAGTGAAAGCAATGCCATATCCTTTGACTTTGCCTTTTCGCTGATTATGTTCAAAACCCTGATGTTGTGAAATCCTTGACGGTTTTTTACAAATCCATTTTGATCATTATGTATTAAACTGGGAATATAATTATCTAAATGTAAAACAAGAGCCTAGCAGAGTATATTTGTGTCACAGCCGATCGAGCTTATTGGTCTGTATGAGGAACCAGGGCTGGACTGGGACAAAAAAACGGCCCGGGCATTTTTTCCTTCTTAGCGGCCCAGGCAACTCAAAAGGTTCAAGGAGCCATATTTGACAAAAGAAACTAAAGACAACATCTCTCTGGAGCCGCAAAAAATACAAAACAGCGTTGTATAAGGCTTATATGAAGGTAACAGGGGCTGAAGCTGTATTAGCTACATTAGCTACATTAGCTACATTAGCTACCTTAGCTACATTAGCTATATTTGCTATATTAGCCTAATATCTAAATGACAAAGTAAAGGCTAAACACATAAAAACCATTCATGATTATCAAATGTGTATTTTCATTGCAGCGTGTCCTGGAGAGAATGACGCACCACGTGACAACTCTGCTTTAAGTTTAACCTTCATGCAATTGTACAAATACAGTAAATAAATCTGCTTTTTGGCTTCGAGTTCACCTGCATCACTGTCTGTTCATATCGATCACGCCACAGGCTGAAGTTTGCTGGAGCTGAATGTCCTTAATGGCCTTTTCTTTCCCCGTCTTTGCGAAGGTATTTGAAGTCTGAAAATAGTTGCTCTGACTTTATGATAAATAATAAATCTTTCAGTGAACAGTGGTTAAAGCTTCATTGTTCCTCCTGTTGCAACAAAACTTTTCATTACATCGCAAACATGAAGCAGTCCTTCCTCATTGACTGAAAGCAAATGTTCATTCTCATTCTTAGTCCAGTCTTATCATCGACTC